AGACAAACAGTACCAAATGAATTTGAACTTCACCTCACTCCACAAGCAAGTGGCTATCAGGACTCAGTAGCTAAGTGGATAATGTGATCGCGTTTGAAGCGGATGGCGCTGGGTTGGAGTCCCGGAGTAAACATAGACTCTGTGGTGCAGGTAAATTAATCTGACGAGTCCCAAATAGGACGAAACGCGTATCCTGGATTCCACTGCTAGCCACCAACGATCCTTGCTTATTGTCCCAACTATTGTTTGGTTACGGGTTCTTCTTCACTGATTGACAACTCTTGATTGCATAGGCTCTACTAATCTCTATAGATCCACCGTGATTTTGAAGAAATCCACAAAGTTACTTTCAAACGTATACGGGCAAGTGCCATTCGCAGACAGTATGCTTACCAAGGCTTCTTTGCTTTCGAGACCAAACTGATTATTTCTTTGCACACGAGAGAAGTATCAGAACAACTATATAAAATGGCGTAAGTTTCCAAACTTTTCCGGGATCATATAGCTTCACCGGACCAATACCCAAAGTAACATTCGATGAGTTCTAATCTTTAGCAAAATTCACCATATGGTTGTCACTACCATCAGTATACAGCATTGGAGGATGTTGAAACTTGCAGTTCTCAATGTCATGTTTTAATCTTGAGGTATATGACTTAGTACTACGACTCTTTCTGAAATATTGATAACAAAGATCTCGTCTTCTTGCTACCCGTCTCCCTTTCATAACCTTCATTTTCAATAACTCCGTACAGTATCTCTATGTGACCAACTTGACAAAACTTGCAACCTATAAAATAGATGAGTTGCTTATCTTCTGCCTAAATGAATTAACGTCAGATCTTCTATCGATTTGGCCTTCACAAAATCCCTCACCGATTTTTGGACTCTCTTCTAATTGTTTCTCCTTAAGTAATGCCTAACCTAGTCTAGGAAAACTAAGCCTACCAAGACTAATTCTGCTGACAGTAATGTCATCACATTAATCATCGCTAGCATAAAGCACTTCACAGACAGCTCTAGGAAGCTAGCCTTCTAAACATTTGTCCTCCTTTGACCTCCAACCACGTGTTTCTATAGTATATCATCGTTCCATACATTTATGTCAACCGAAATTCAAATTAGTTGAAACGTAATCTAAAGAAACCGATGAGGGGAATTAAAAATTCGATCCCAAATGAACACTGAAATAAATTTCGGTATGTAAAGAGTCAAAAAACCGAATTTAGAAGCTTTCGTGTTACGTTTAAATCTTTACCTAGTTCGTTATTGCAGCAAGCTCAATCAATCCCCTCGTGAATTACTGCCTAGATAACAAGAGGACCATATTTCCATTCAGGTACTAAAGTCACATCTCGGTGACCTGCTAGCGAGACTCAGAGGAAATAGATATCACCCTCTTTCCGAACTACAAAGGAACATAGTCTGGCAATTTTGGAGGTCAGGCTTAGAACTGTTGTTATTTGTATGCTGTCTCGGTAACATTTAATTTTTTAGTAGTTCCTATGAATCTGCAATGACAATCGAATTACGGTGAACAATCATAAATCATCTCTGGAAGTAAATTCACGCTAACTTAGAAGATCCATACGGGGTGTAAATACATGACGGAAAAGAGTGAAAGTCGACAAAGATCAACAATTTTGCAGATTCCTGGATGATATGGAGAAGCAATCAGAAGTAACCTAATGAAAAAGTCGACTGATGGCAATCAGAAGTGACTTAAAACAAGTGTATCTAACTGGGGTCAATGGGTCAATTTCCTAAGGAGAGAGTGAGTAGTTGCGCATTTCATTCGGTAGTCCAATACACTTTCTCACCGACCTTTGTTGTCTCACCCAAGTAGTCAGTTGTGGGGTTAGAGCGTAGCACATTGTATATCTATCAGATTTTGGACACCGCCGTCACAGCACTTGACTTTGCAATACAGGAGTGGTTACCATGATTTCATCCTTCCTATATTCAGAGTGGTATTCTGTCAGTAAGTTGGAAACCTTTCTTTGGAGAATGTTACAAACAATAGCACTGACCGATATCATAGACGATGATGTAACTGTGACGTCGGGTTATACGGACCAAAAAGTCACATAGTAGGAGATTTAAGAACTCAAATTAGGTACGTGAGCCACAATAAATTTGACTACTTACTTACTTACTCCTGTTACTCCAAATGGAGCATAGGCCTCCGACCAGCATTTTTAAACCCACTCAGTAGCGCTGTTCGGAAAATCCCTCAGTCGTACATCCCTATTCAAGTATTTCGCAAACGATGTTGGACAATACTTCCTCTACAGTAACGTGGAAAGTTATATAAAAAATGTCATTGTGTGTCGTACTAAACGGCATTTTCATTGATAGGAAAAACCACGGAATAAAATAACTATATACTTAGGTTTGACAAGTCAGAAACAGGTTCCTTGCTAGTCAAAAGCATGGTTATACCCGAAAAGGGATTGAGATGGAAATGGTTCAAATAATTTCAGGAACAAGCAGTCGTATTTGACGTGGCTCCTAGCCACACGATCCCTGAAGTTGCATATCCAAAGACTAGGAAGACAGATCAATCACCCAAAACTTGAAGATGATCAGAATACATGAAGAAGGATACATTAAATTGTAACGACACGGTCTGGCCATGCAGGCGTAGCTGTTTCGTGTCGATTCGATTCCGGTATGCGATTTTACTGACTAGGTTGTCACATTATAATAGGTCCTCAATTTTAGATTAGATCTATTATTCTAGTAGCAAAGATAAATTCATTTTCATTGGTTAAGAATTCAGTCTCACTCAGTCACTGTTCAAAACAATACTTCTTTTCTACAAAAAGGATAATACAGTTTCTTTTCAACCAGGACAGAAACCACTAACGGATCGAGCAATATCAGTCAAGAGTAAGGTTTCCTGTGTGGCCACCGTACAATCTTTCAACGATGTCAAGCGATAGTAGATGCTACAAAGTTAAGGATGACAACTGTTTTTATACATTTTTGCCAGTTTTTGTTAACTGTATTTTTTTTAACGGTCCTAAATTTACTGCTTGTATTTTTAAGACAGTCTAAATCACTAGCCATGAAAAATGCATGCAAAAGACCTGGTTGCCGTTTTGCCCTTACATCTGGCATGCAATGTGACAACTGCAAAGGTTGGTTCCACGAGGCATGTACATATCTAACAGCAGCAGCCCATAGCAGACTCAGCACGTCTGATCGTAGGTGTGTATGTGTTACCTGCAACACTGATACGTTAGTTATGTTGGGTACCATCATTACTTTACTGACAGATCTGAGAGATAAGTTGTCTAAGAATTTGGTAAATGATAGCATCATGACGGGTAACAAAGCAGGAACGCATAGGGCAAATAAGAAAAAGGATACTGACAGGTCGGTTATCGACAGTGCTGTTTATATCACAAGTGATGATGTGCTGAAACTCAGCACCATCTTAACATCGACTGTCATCAACTCCCTCAGTAAACTTGGGTCCCCCAGGGAACAGTCCTTGAATGAGACAGTAGTTCCCAAAAATTCTGTAGGTGGTTGGACTCACGTTAACAGGAGTAATAAAGCCCAAGCGTCCCCGCCGAAACTGAACGTCCCAAGTATCATGCGGAAATCAATTGATGCTTTGGATGCACAGTCTACTCCCAAGACTGTCCGTCCGGTCATCACTGAGCCCAGGAATCGAAAACGCGCCTCGACATCCAAACAACAAGATACCAAACGTAGACGCCCTGGAAAACCCGGGAAATCAATTACGGCCCGTGACGACTCTGTCATAATCATGAACCTTATTGACAACCCCGACCTTCCTCTCAGTTTGCAGGACAAAAATGATAGGATGCTCTGGGGAGAATTAAACAAGAGGCTTGAACTCCCTAGAATAGAGCCTTTGACCGTCACACGGCTCACTCGGGGGAGGGACTCTAACCACCTTAACCACCCGAGGCTGCTTCGTGTTACACTAAAGAATGCCTCCGACGTAAAGGATGTCCTGCTAGCCAGTCACTTACTGAAGTCCGATGGGAACGTAAGAATACTGCCCGACATACCGTATTCTGAACGAAATCTCATCCGGAACATCCCTAAAGAATCTTGCGAGGCGTTTTCCCGTGGACGAAATATCATTGTGCAAGGTGTACCGGAAAATATGGACCCAAATCAAGCAAACTCTGATATTCGGGAATGGAAATTCATTAAGCATTCCTTAAAACTCAAGAACATATTGACCCAACAGGTAATGCGACTAGCAAAGAGAGACGGAGACTCTAGGCCCCGGCTGTTGAAAATAACCTTCCCCTCCTTCCACATGGCGGCTGCAACTCTGGAAGCATTTCGTGCCAATAGACATCGGTTGTCAACTGGCATCCATATGCATCCGGATAGGCCCCACGACAGCAAGATCAAGCACAAGGGAAAGCTGAAGCTGACAATTCCACTCGTGGACTGTCTTGATCATAAAAAAACGTGTAAAGGACAGGGACTACCAACTCGGTAAACATCGTATTGGTAGGCTACCTGTCCACTCACGCACGACTCATATAGACAAACAGGAAGAAGCTCACGCGTTCCAAATTGAAAGCATAAACTGCCTATACACGAACTCCGCGAGCTTGCCAAACAAAATGGATGAGCTACGTGAACTTAGCAACGCTAATGATGCCATCTGATAGGAATATCCGTCTCAGTTTACGGACCAGGAGTTAGAAATAACTGGGATGTATTTATTTCGCAACGACAGAAAAACAGGAATGGGGGGTGGGGTAGCACTATACATACGGTCAAATCATCGATGTTCAATTAATACTGTGGTACATCAAAAACGATTGCATTCCTTTAAAAATACTTGCATGCTTTAATCTTTGTATTTACAAGGTAAATGAAGCTGCAGTACAGAGTATTAAATGAACTTTTGTTTGTACCACTCCTTTGTTTGTCTGCGCAGAAAACTGCTTCCTGAGACGGCCATTATTCCTCCTGGTTTTTGTTCATTGTTTCGAATTATGACGTTCATGACTTTGTTGCAGCGCATTGAATTGGAACGAGGAAAACGGGAACCTGGAGAAGTAAGTTGGTATTCAGTTCTTGATGTGCATTAGATCACGGAACTGAATTTGGACAACTCAAAATCCGTGGATATCGAAGGTCTCACGGATGAATATTCGTCCTTAGAGGTCTTGAGTATGATGAATGTTGGTCTTCAAAGTTTGGCTGGTTTACCTTGTCTTGCCGGCCTAAAAACTGTAAGTTAGACTAGCTTAAATCATGCTCTTAGCTTGAATTGTCGAACAATTTGATATCTGGTGGTCTTGACGCTCTGCTCAAATGTCCCAACATTGAGCAACTTAATCTAAGTAGCAATAAGATTGAATCAATGGATGTATTGATTCCACTGGCTAAGCTATCCGAACTCAAAAGTTTGGACCTCGGCAACTGTCCTGTCACTTCTACGGAGAATTACCGTAAAAAGGCTTTCGCAATGATTCCGTCTTTAAAATATTTGGACGGTCTTGATGAGTAAGTCCATATCCGTAGATTTAATGCATGGTTCAGAAACAACGAGGAAGAAGTGTTTGGAAACGATTTTCTGAATGGAGGTTTAGATGAAGAGGGTAAGTCAAATTGTTTGCTGCATATTCATATAACGTTCTACCCGCAATCTCTACATGCTGTTCAGTCAGCTAAAGACTTTTAAGTGTTTAACTAAGGACGCTAATGATTAAAGCGGTTTAGCATCTGGCTTGGTTACTCACACTATCTCATAGCACTTGGAATCCGTTGCTCTTTATTTAGTTTCTCGATTTGTGTGGTCAAATTAATGCACTCGTTCTGGTCTTTGGAAGTGCGATGTCTCGTTTAAAACCCCTGTCCTCAGCTTTGTGAATCATCAATCCCGGCATGCATTCAGTCTATGCGTTTGGAAGTTGTTTCTAGGACGGTTACCGTTATTAGTTACCATTTCAAGAACGTCCTCGTTGCTAATCGCTTTTCGGCCCTCCGCGTTCCCGTTCATCTGTTGTGATGTGTAATTTTTTGTCATATTACACTTCAAAGGCTTACATAGAATATGTTTTTTGCATGTGACTAAACTTTTCTTTCACTGAGTTTCAGGATGTGTGAAATATTGCGCTGCCGTAATATAAACCCAGTAATTAGATGTCGGTCCGGAATATGTGTGTATAAGGCGGTATTTCAAGAATGGATTGATGGATAAAGGCGTGTTTTGTGGTAATACTTCTGTGTCATGAGTTGACATTCTCTCGCCTTTCCGTAAGGTTCTGACATTTGTAAAGTAGTGGTCCTGGTGTCGCCTTTTCGAAACGGCTTGTATTCCGAAAAAGTACATTCTAAGCATTGTGGTAACTGTCCAGAATGCATTTTTCGATGTATTCAAATAAGGTATTTTTGGCGTACTTTCGTTCCAATGTTCACATCACATTGCACTTATATCTCTGTTAACATCATTAATGCATTAGAGATTAATGGAGACTGTTCAGATGGATGATCATACTTCATTCCTGTTTATGGCAAACAATGAAAGTTTCAACATATGGTTTTAGACGTATAAGTTGAAAAAAAACTAGCAAAAAAATTTTCCGAACATTTTTCGCTCGTCTTCCATCAATCGTTTGCACTGCTGGTGACATTCTATTAAGTACTCCTGGTTTCCATCTGACTTGCTCTTTCTGACCCTAGTTACTGTGGAAAGTTTTTTAGATGACAACACATGAAGGTTCAGTCGGTTCTTGTTTAGTCAAATGAATCAATAGATGAGTAGAAATCTTTTTCTTCAACAAGAGAGCGTCCTAAAAGCTAACTTTCAGTGTTTTCCATCACATTTAATTATTTTGATATAGCAGATGGTGTCGATGAAGCTGATGAAGATGATGATGAAGGATCTGATGAGGAAGACGAATGTGATGATGAAATTGGCATTGAAGCCCTCCAACAAAGTGGTGAACTTGAAGATGATGAGGATGATTATGCTCCAGGTAACTATTGTTTTTAACTGATTCATTTCCTGCGATCTCCACTCACATTAACGCAACGTTCCTTTGTTCTTATAGGTGAAGATGAGGAAGCGGAGTTAGATGATTACGACGATGTGGATGATGAAGATGAAGACGACGTAGAGGAAGACAACGGAGCTAATCTTTCGGCTGCCAATGTAAGTGGACCTCGACGCCCCGGCACCAAGCGGCGCCATGAGGACATTCAAGATGGAAAAAATGGGGATAATGCACAGCACTGTGGAACTAAACATAAGCACACTGAAGATCATGCGGAGACTCATGTCGAAAACGGATCAACTGCTGATGATTAGACGGTTGATATGAACTTCATTGTTTTTATTTAGGCCAAATTCCTATTGTATATGTTATGTTCATGTTCATCTTTTATGTTTAACCACAAATTCACCCAAAATGAACTATGTATTTGTACAGTACATTTGCTGACATCTTTTTTCGACAACACATAATTCAGTGTTAGCTAATGCATTTACTCATTTGTAATACTTTATTACATTGTTAAATTTTTGAAACATCTTTTTAACTGAAATCCGTCCATATTTATTGGGTTTTAATAATTATAACCTGAGTTGTCATCTTAATAATCAGTCTGTTACTTGTTTGTTTAACTTGTAGAGTCCAGGTAATTGACGATTAGTAATTATGAGTTCCCTAGCCTATGCACGACCTAATCGGCAGATCATTTTGGTAAATAGATGTGGTTGTGGTGTTCCGAGAAGTTAAATATAACATGGTGACATTGTTTATAGGGTTGTATCACTGCTAAACGTGCTAAGTGTTTCAACTGGTAGAAGTGTGATTCATCTAAACGCGAAAGGTTAGTCTTCGGTAGTTTTACAGAACGTCCTAGGTTCAGTTGTAGGCTCGGGCCTTGAGAGGCCCAAAATTCTGCTGAAGTCCACTGGGGGGTCACGTATGTTTGCTGCTTCAATATACTAACAGACAGCAGTGAAACGATTGCACAAACTAAACAGGGACAGAGTTTCCAAATAGCACGATCTACCCTTACCTGTTGGGTTCCTGAGACTGCCTATTGCTGTAGGTTTGGTGGATATGATGTAAGCCTGTGGGTCTTACGTAAATGGCTTCCGCCCATTTGCGATTGCATTCATGTGCGTGAAGTTTGCATGGCGTTACCTAGAACCTTTAAACTCAGATACACGGGTTATAAAACTAAACCTCAATAAGCATAGATATCATCCTACAAAGATTCCAAGTTAAGTCACAATTTAAACACCACGACTCGAGTTTCATAGCTACTTGATTGTCGGCTACGTAGTTGACACGAATCGATCTACACGGCCTGTGGAAAACCATGATCTAATTCCAACCAACTTCTCTCAAAACTGTCTCAGCGAAGTTTATTAGTCGAAAACAGTAAAACCAAATGGTTCTAAAGTACCGGTACAGATAAAGTAACATCTCAGTTGCTGTACATGACAATTTAAGCTATCAGCTGTAACAAAAACTGCTTAGATATTTTGAAGCCTAGCCTCAGGTCCCGGACATTGTGGCCGACAAACTGCTTGATAATACTAGTTTTCTGTGTACGTTGAGTGCAACTTAACGAAAATGATACTTATTTCCAGATCAGATTTATATCCAATTATCCTAATGATTAGATCACTAGTGATCGACATGAAGCAGGTCACATAGTATCTAGTTCCACACTTCAAACTCATTATTGAGGATTAAAGAAGCAAGTGGACAGTACGAGAGATTAGGCACTATTCTGTTTGTGTACTCTGACTAAGTAGTGTAAATTAACATTAAAGATATTTAGAGATAAAAGTGTCGTAATGAGACTGGAGGTTATACATGGACTTTTAAAAATGACTTCAAAACCACATGCCTGAAATAAAGCTGAGACACTGCGAGTACGGATAATGAGCACCTGTTGGATAGTGAATACACCCAAAATCTTCAGAATACCGTTCAAGAAACTGAGATTAAGTTTGTTAAACTTTGTAAAATCGCTGGTATTAGTCATTTCCAACCTGACATATAAAAAGACAAAACTGGATAGCTTTTTTGTCATCCTAACTCTCGTAAAGCAAATTTCGCCGCCTAGTGGTTGTCGCACGTTTTACCTTATTCATATCGTGTAATTGCGCAATCACTTATTTCAACCAATGATTATGACCCATAATGCTTTTTTAAATTGCAGTTTCCATAATATATGTGAACATCAAACTCAAGTGTATTATGTAATCTTGATGGATAAGTATTACATAGATTGTGTTGATTTGTAATCATCCATGAAGGATCAATTAGTCTTTGTTAAGACCTTTGATCATAATATTATGACAGTGTGGTCAGTAGTCATTTACTTCGAGAATTCCTGGAATTTTAGTGGCGAATCGTGATCGGTTATGTTCAAATATGACGCTGCTAAAATTATCTTGACCAGTGACGTTGGATGATCGTCATATTATATAAAGAATAGGTTTAAGCTAGAAATGTATATCATTGGCTATCAACCTTTTCGTTTTAATGACTAAACATTCACCTGTGTTCCATCCGTAGCAAGTTCGTCGTACGTACTGCTGAAACAAGCGGTACTTGGATTAAACAGTTGTCCAATTCTTCATGACACTCCAACTTAGATCGAACTTTGAAAAATATCCTCAACACTCAATGTGCAATATTGTTTTCTTTTATTCGCATGAATATTTTGCAATGAATGTATCTCAGACCAGTCAGCAGAAGTATTATCTATTCCATTCAATTACTATACATTTTGATGGAGTTTTGTTCTATGAGCTATATGGTTTGGTCATGGAGCTTTCATCGTTCTTCCGAACGATATCATCAGCAAAAACTTCTAGTAGAAGTTGTATTACGTAAAACCTAATGTTTCCAAAATTTAGGTTAGTATATGTCAGCCTATTTCTTAGCTTATATTTCAAGGTAAAACAACTATTATATAATATCCTATAGGGATTTTGTGTATACTATTCCTTATTTTTGTATTGACTTGATTTTGATGAGTGTTAACAAAGTGTATTTAGGCCATTGGTTGCCCGCTGTCTAAAAAGATCAAGTTATATCCAAACTCTTATATTTCCTTTATCTACAGTACATTAGTTACAATATACTTTTCAATAAATTATTTTATTCTCTAAGAACAATTATTGTAAATGAGAGTCCTTCCAGCTTGATTTAATATTGGATCGACCCCAAATGCCCTGGTACGGCAGAGTGTGGAGTGGGGGCCAACCTCCCCCTCGACATGCTCTCTCTCTCATGAAATGACGATATCTACTGACAGTACTATTCATGCTCTTATTGAAAGTCAGACAATTCACATTATTATTATTTACCTCGTCACTTATTCACACCCCTTTATCCTTTTCAATTTATTCAGCAGCTCGCTTATGGTGTACACTCTGTTCTATCTAAACGATCTTTAGTCACTGTCTGGTCGAAAGTGAATGCTTCCATCGAATACGAATACTGAACCAGTCTTTCTAAAACTAAGTACACTGTTCAAACTGGCTTCCTTCAATGTTCACACACTTTATGTATGGCACATATATATCTGGTGCTCTCATGTACCAATATTTATATGTTTTTAAATAAAATAAATTGGTAGATAATTATGTAAACAACATTTTTTTGATGATAGACAAAACATCATTCAAATATAGAGAGAGGGAGGGATTGTTTTAAAGTAACCTTCAGATTCTCTTAATCTAATAGAATGTTCACATGATCTTTTAGAATTGTCTGAATCTACCTCAGTTGGCAAATATTTATAACTGTTTTCCATATATAAAAAAATATAAGAGATATCTAATCGAAAATAAACTACAATCACTTGTTTATCTATAATGTTACTAATAAAATACATTTCATTGTAAATAAACAATTGGATTCAACTGAATAAACAAATGCTTAATGAATCTGTCATTCTTTTTTAATTACAATGCTTTCAACTATGAAAATATTGAAATCTCCACAAAAAACCCCTTCTGACTATTATCATATGCTCACTAGTGACTGACTTCAAGAGGTACTTCCTACAGTTTTAGTGAGAAGCAGTGACCAGTGGAGTTCAAACCATATCTGTTGTGAAATATCAACTCACTGAAGACAATTGGTGAACGGTTGCTCAACTTCGTGGATTGCTTAAAGTTAGGCATTAACACCATCGAATGCTGGCTCAGTGGTCTATCAGTTAAGTGCTAGCACACGAAACTGATAGGTCCTGGGTTCGAATTTCGCGAGGTGAGATCGTGGATGCGCACCTCTGAGGAGCTCCACAATAAGATGAAAAGGCCATTCAGTGCTTCCATGTTTTCCTTGGTAGTCTAGCTTCAACTGACCCATCCTTTCAAATATGAAAATACTAAATCTCCACAAAAACCCCATCTGTTAATCTTTTATAGATTAAAAATGATCAATCCATCCATAGAGTATAAATCTCTCTTTCTTAATATTTGTAATTATAAATGTTAGTTACTCTTTTATTTACTGGAAAGTCGATTCATTTTATATTTGCTCATGGTTCATTTACAACTTGAAATTTATTTAATTAAATAATAACAACCTTGAAATTGATTTGTTCATACATAATAAAGATATAATTAACCAATCATTTTATTAGGTTTTCTATTTTAATCTATCGACTTATATTTCTCCTTTCAAGGTTATTTAATTCAGTTATTTATATTCTTTTAGGACCAATCAAATTTATTATTAATCTATTTCTTATATTAATTATCAGAAAGGGGGTTACTATGGATATGATTAGTAATTTTTAATAGTTGAGATCATGAATCAATTGAAGTTAGACCACCCCTTTCTGATAATAATTAACATATGCTCACTAGAGACTGGCTTCATGAGGTATTTCCTGGAGTTCTAGTAAGAAGCAGTGACCAGTGGAGTTCAAACCACGTCTGTTGTGAGATAGTAACTCACTGAAAACAATTGGTGAATGTGTCGCTCAATTCCGTGGATCGGTTGAAGTTAGACATTAACATCGTTGGATGCTGGCTCAATGGTCTAGTGCTAGCGCACGAAACTGATATGTCCTGGGTTGGAATCTCGTAAGGCGGGATCGTGGATGCGCACTGTTGAGGAGTCCCGTAACAGGACGAAACGGCTGTCCAGAGCCTGTAGGTTTTCCATGGTGGTCTAGCAGGAGTCCAGAATGCTTAGTTGGCTTTTTCTAACTGGAGTTACTCGTGTTGTGCGTGAGATATCCATCTAACAAACAAAGGATGAGTATATTGTGCAGCATTTCATTCTGTTCTGCTTTACAACTGTGAAACGTGTCCTTTAAAAATAACGGATATTCGTAAGTTGCTAGTATTCGATCACAGATGCCTTCTCACAAATTTTGCGACCATCAAGTTAGCAATTCCGAGATTAGATAGAGAATACTAAGTGACGATGACAAATTGAATGATGAGGTAATGAATCTTCATCGACTGAGGTGAATAGGACATATATTAAGTAAACCCATCCACCGACTACCTCGATGATAGCTGGTTTAGGAGTAGGTAAGAAGAGAGCTAGGGACAGAAAAATTAAAACATGGCACCAGCCCAGTACATGAAGATAATGCCTAATGGGCTGAACCATATAAGTTCAGACTAGTTGGGGTTTGAGTGATTACCATATCCATTGATTAGCGACTTTAGATGGTATGACTTAAAACCGTTGATCGCCAACAAATATAACTTATCTGGACCATTAACAGCCTTCTGGTTTTTGGCCTACCGAGGGATCCAAGTCAATATCTAGTACTTAATCTTATTGTAGTGGTGATCATAGTCAATCGCGACTCTATTCCATCTACGAAGATCTGAAAATGCTGTAACAATGAATTAAACGTTATCTAAATAACCTTTAGAAATCAGATAGTATTTAAAAACTGTAGAACACATAACTGCTCATGTGATTGAATTCAGAAGTTTCAAATTTTTAATTGGTACGACATTTGGAAAATCAGTATCATATTTACATATATTTGTGCATGGGTTAAATATTTTAGCAAAATTGCTTAGCTACTTGTTAGTAGTCAGATATCTTGCTAGATAATCTATCGTACATGGATTACGATGGGTTGGAAATCGATATTCTCAGTGAGAATGTAGAATAACATGTATTAATCATCTTGAATTATATTTCAAATTCATTCAATGAATATAATTGGTATGGTTTTTATTCATTGAAATCAACCAACTGACTTAGAATACACCGACTGTTATTTCTTGGAGAATGCTTGGTATATTTTTCACTCAAATCTAATTTGATGTTCTGGGAATAACCTTTACATGAAATTAATCCGACATAGTAAGACTGATTTGTTAATTGTTCCGGTCACTTCATCTGTTCCTATAGTTTTTCCGACGTATACAGTGAACACGTTTGAAATTCTCCACCATTCTTCATGTGGCTTCGGTGAGATGTTAATCAATGACAAAGAATGATCTGTAGCAGTCTTAATTAATACATACGTCATGAGAGAAGGAAGAAACTGAATATTTTCTAATTCAACCAAAGCTTTATGGGAATAATCATGAGACTAGATGAAAAATCGGAAAACATCTTTTTTACACAACTTTCTAAGTGATTTATATGTGTTATTAGCTACAAAATGTTCATTGTACTAAGCATGCATAGTGTGTAAAAACGTCTTTAATAAGACAAAAGGGTCACATCATGAAGCTTGATTTAATTACGATATACTTTTCTCACAACAGGGCATATTTACAATCCATATAAATAGGAAGGTTTATTTGCCAAACTGAAATACAATGTACACAAAATGTAGGTAGGTATATATGGTTGTCCTCCTGACTCAGACAAGAATACGTAAACTAAAACTGTAGCCAGGTGTATGACCAAGTTCTTTCGTCTATAACTGATTGGCCACAAGTCTGGTTTTTGTAAGGATATATGATATATCCAAACTTATCCAGACTATTAAAATGGTACCATCTGTTTATATACACTGGGTAAGTAGGTTGGGGTATGTAGAAAGTGATAAACTGGCAACTAACAGTTCTCGGCGACAACGTAATTGTATGAATTCTTACTATTTTTCTAATTTGTAACGCTTGATTTGACTTTTAACATAAAATATACTGATCATCAGAATGAAGGTATCTCAAATAGGTAAATTTGCCCCTAAATGCCCTGGTACGGCGGAGAGTTAGCTCTCCGGAGCACTGTACGGCCGTTTCGTCCTATTGTAGGATTCATCAGCAGTGCGCATCCACGATCCCGCCTCGCGAGAGCGAAACGGCCATTCAGTGCTTTCAGGCTTTAATTGATTCATGATCTCAAGTATTAAAAAATTACTATAATATCTATAAAACACCTTCTGATAATTCACATTCTGTTAAATATTTTAGTGATATTATTCATAATAGAAGAAAAAAATTAAATTACAGGAACATGAAAAATTCATGATGCTATTCGTAGGTGGTAAGAATGGACCTCATGGAGAGGAGCGATTTCCTAGAAATAGTAGAGTAACAAATATTCCAACTATCATAAACCATCGATCTATACCTTTTTGTCGACCACCACTAATCATATTTCATTTCTATATACAAATACATAAGTAGCTTTTATTTGTTTTGTTTTTTATTTAACAGTATATTCTCAGTTTTGAGTGTTTACAAGTACACCATTAAGAGGGTGTTAGTATGTTACATGTGAACAATTTTTCACTAATCCATTACAAGACCTGAAGTTGTGTATTTAACTTGTAATCATATGGTGATAGTATTCTTTTCTGATACCATAGAAATATCACTGGATATATACATACTTTTTAATTTAGTTAAATAGTTTAACAAATACAGATTTATGTAATTGGCTTCCAGCTACCCTCCAATTGTGACGGCTAACAATACTACCCGGTTACACGAATGTAGGTAGATAGAGAGTTCAAACTTACGGTTCAAACAAACAATTCGAAGTGAATTTAAACTTCACCCCATTGCACAAGCAATTGGCTATCAGAACATAATAGCTGAGTAAATAACATGATGCCATTTGAAGCGAACGGTACTGGGTTTGAGTCCCAGAGTGAACTTCAACTCTCAGATGCAGGTGCATCCAGCTGACGAGTCTTGAATAGGACGAAACGCGCGCCCTGTATTCTACTATCCATCTTTGCTTATTAAATCTTAATGATTGAGAGATTAACACCCTAATAACTGAACCTATTCAAAAATAATCATTTATTTCTATATTCTTTAGCAAATTAGTTCTACCATCCAAAAATTTTGTCTCCCTCTCTTTATACATATACATACGTATAAAAAAGTTCAAACAAATGTGTACTAAGTCAAAATACGCTCCTAATTGAAAAAAAAAATCAATGAAATTCAAAACATTGATGAGTATCGATGAGACAAAGAGGGTAAAAACAGGGTAATTAATGAAGATGGAATGATCTATAAAATGATTGTCAACAACCTTTTTTTTTCTTCTTTCTATACAAAACCAACCCAAATTATAACAAAGATGGTAATGTAAGAATAGTCTCTTTTTCTCTTTCTTCTTCTACTTCTTATTACTATTCTTATGATGATGATGATGATAGGGGGGGGTTAATTTTTTTATTTTTACATTTTCTCTTGCATAGCCATCAAGAATTTTTGTTGTTCATGTTGTATACTTGATAATACATCCGGTATTGATATTTTATATTGTTCACATACTTTTAATTGGGCATTAACACCTTCACGTAATGCTATTAAATGTGATAAATCATTTTGTGTTTTAGCTTGTTTTATTGCCATATCAAAATGTTTTAATGCTTCATTAAATTGACCCTTTTCTACTGATAATTGACCAAGTAATTCATGTATTAATTCACATTTAGGATCTTTTTGTATACCTTCTATAAAGAAACATAATGCTGCATCACGATCTTGTTTCCATTTTAATTGTAATAAACCACGATGTGCATAGGCTAATCCAGAATCTGGTGCTAAGGTTATTAAATCAGCAAATATTTTATCACTTTCTTTAAAATCACCACGTTCAGACAGGATCTATATGTAATGGAAATCAGGGATAATAGGAAATAAAAAGAACATACATACACATATTATTGATAATAATTTCTAGGCAAAACATGTTTAATCAATTCAATTTTGCTTAAAAAAACAAATCGATTAATGATTATAACAGGCTATTGATGTTCTACATACACACATTCAAGTCGTACGGGTCGAAGGCTCCACTGCCCACTTAGGATAGTTTCTTTTAGCAGACAACTATTAGTGCTTAAAAAAATGTTTAACTGAAACTTAAATGTATATTTTGGTCATTGACCGAGTTAAATGATGATAGTACACCGAGTGTATTATCTTATTATTGAGTGAACGTGAATTTGATGGATTGATTGACAGTTAACGAAATCGCTCCAATAATAGAAAACGCCCATGTTTGTCTACAACTCTTATAGAGTTACTGCCGGTCCCAAGTCCGGGTAAAGGAGGAGGGTTGTGCATGGGGTTAGCGACCCCATCATGTAGAAACCTAACTCGCTGAAAAACGCCCACCAGAACTGGTGGGTGGCCAATGCTCCTCCACGACAATTAACAGGCGTATGTAATGTCTACAAACGCCATTTGCTGTGAAAATGACAAACTTATTGTATATTAATAACAATAATATATTCTGAAAATAATAATTACAGAATTCACACCAGTTTACAGGCATGATCAATTTGATACAAATAGCAACATTAGATATAGAGAACAAATATGTAATATAAGATTGTTTTAAGTTTGCTAGTTCAGTAATTGTTAAGTAGTTTATTTATGACATGTCTCACGGCATGTTTTTTAAAGATGAGTAGAATTATGTAGCACGTCGGTCTATATCTCTTAACAATTGTGTAATATGAATGATCTTTGGTAGTGGAAAATATGTACAGAATGTTAGTATTTGATGACAAGTATTACTTAAGTAATATAGTGAAATCACTGATTGGTTAATCATAAAACAAGAAATAAAGAGTAATAAAGAATAAAGATTTTTTTCTGGTTAGCGTTTTTTTAGCGAGTTGATTCTCTACGGGATGGGGTCTCTAACCGCATGCACAACTATCCTCCTCTACCCGGGCTTGGGACCGGCAGTAGCCCCCGAAGGAGCTACAGGCGGAGGCATGGAAAACTACGAAAGCCATCATCCAGAAGATACAGTTGTCTACGCAAGGCACTTCGGATATGTTGGTCAGACACTATCAGCAACAAGCTACTGTGGGAGACAACAAACCAGATTCCAGAGGAGGAAGAAATCGGGAAGAAGCGCTGGGAGTAGATAGGACACACATTGAGGAAGTCATGCAAATGCGTCGTAAGACAAACCCTCACATGGAATCCTGAAGGTCAAAGGAGAAGACCAAGGAATACATTACGCCGAGAAATGGAGACAGGCATGAGAAGAATGAACAAAAAATGGATAGAACTAGAAAAGAAGGCCCAGGACAGAGTGGGTTGGAGAATGCTGGTCGGCGGCCTATGCTCCATTGGGAGAAACAGGCGAAAGTAAGTAAGTAAAAGAAGAGAGATTGAGTTTCTAAGAAAAGAATCAAGTTTTTTTTGTTTAGATTCGTGAGATAATCATTGAAATTAATTGTTGAAGACTTCCAATCAAAGTAGAATAAATATGTTCACTCATTATCATCTTTTTAATTTTTAATTCTAGTATCAATCCATACATCTTTTCCTACTTTGTCTTTTGTGACTATATTTCTAAGACTTAGTTTATCTGTTTATCATTGTTATTATATTATTTCAATTTCTTTTGTTGTGTTAATCGGGTATGACAATTTATACCATTGTACATGTGTACCAGGATTTATGTTGATAATAGCTAACTACCTATCTATTTAGAATATGATAGTGTGAAGTTGCGCAACTGGAACTAGTTACACATTTATAACAAGTCCTAACATTATTTGTGATTGATTGTATAGGTTAAAATATGGTGTATTGACGAGTTCATTTAGACATGTAAACCCAACAACATACAGTCAACAGTTCAAAACCAACTAATTATTAACTTTACAACAAAATTGAGTATTTCTAGTACTTCAAACTAAACTAAACATAACACTTTCCTACTTCAGGATCACCGAGTGAGTAATACTGAGGTTAGACATGGGATACTAGGTAAAAATGGCAAATCGATTGATGGAGCAGTAAATCTTTATCAACTGAGGTGACTAGGATATGTGCCCATCCACTACCCACCTCGAGGAGCGATGTTGGTTGATGTAAAAGTACGTTTAAAAAAAGCTAGGAGAGGCTAAATTCAACACATAGTACTTACTCTACAAAGTCATTAACAATAGAACTAAGTCATGTCAACACGTGCATACTACCTGTTTAAAATCCACTTCACTATAATTTACTAGTGGTTGGATACTTTGCATGAAATATATTAAAATCATTCGCAATAATGGAAATGTATCCAACCTCAGTCTATTCCCTTAAATCTTCAATCCCTAATATTACTATCTCTACTTCTCTAGGATTTATTCAAATAATTTTATCTCATTGTACTAATAAGGTATGGAAGCTTAAAACAATATAAACATGGTAAGCAGAGATGGATAGTGGCTAACAGTGGAATCCAGGACGCACGTTTCGTCCTATTTAGGACTCGTCAGTTGGATGTACCTGCATCTCAGAGTTGATGTTCACTCTGGGACTCGAACCCAGTACCCTCGCTTAAAACGCCATCGCGTTATCCACTCGGCCACTGAGTCCTCATAGCCACTATCCATCTTTGCTTACCATGCTTGTGAAATAAGGCTATCTCGAGGCAATTAGAGACTGACCAGTTGCAGTCCTAACACATCGATGGAAAGATTCAAACAAACAATACTAAATGAATTTAATATAAACATGTATCAAATTCTACGGTGCGTTTAACTAAATGACATGTGACCGCATAACAACAAGAACACCTATATCAATTTATATCTATCATCTTAAAACTTCTCTAATCCAGTAAACTAACACTTCACATAAACTCTCAAATTTTAATTGTCACAAGAATGACTGAATGTTTCTCCATCTCCAAAAATAAAAACAAAAACTGAGAGATGTCTCAGTTTTTATACACAATAAATGATGTTGAGTAAGAAAACAACAACATTTATCTAACACAGATATATATTGACACATTTACACAATTATGTTGATTGATTCATATTAGTCTAGTTTTACCAACTTAATCATTTTTTAATAGATTAAACTAATATTTATATAAATCTAATCTAAAGGTAAATGATAATAAAATCATTGAAATAAGTTGTTATCAGGTACATTCAACTGACGAGTCCCAAATAGAACGAAACGAGAGTCATGGATTCCACTGCTAGCCACCAACTATCTTTGCTTATAAGCTGTTATCATATGAAAGAATGAAATGCCAACAATTACAGCAACAAACAAAAAACAGCATTCACATAACTCTTATTCGATTTTAGATCACAATGATAGTAGAAACCAAAAAAAAATAATGAAATTGAAAACAAACTGTCAACAACAAATGACAAGTATGAAATTCCTTTTGCAATAATAATAAAATGATACAACACAATAATGAGCCCGTTATGTGTCATGTAAAAGTGACTAGTAACTACTACTTATTTGTCAAGTACAGATGAATAATAATAATAATAATAAAGAATGTCAATGTACTGATCTGAAGGAAACAATCAGTATAAACAAGAATGAAATAACGATATCTTGTCAACATGTCAAAGAAATGAGGTATAAGAAAATGTGAGAATAAAAGAGGAATCACGCTGTTATCAGAAACCAACAAGATTTTCAACAGTATTGCTAAACCGAATGTGAGATTCAATAGACACACAAAATCGAAATCAATAAGCTGAATTCCGTAAACATCAATCAAGTATAGACCAAATAATGACAACACACATCATTGTTCAATAATCAATTGAATCCAACCCATCACTACACACCAACTTCCTCGACTATGAGAAAGCATCTGACAGCGTGGACAGAACTTCATGGAATCTTCTTCAACAACATGGTGTACACGAGAAGACTGTCACCATCATACGGAATTCTTACGACTGATTACACTGCAAAGTTGTGTATGGGGGACAGCTCACAGATGCATTCCAAGTGGAGACCAGTGTCACAGGCAAGACTGCTTACTCTATCCCTTTCTCTTCCTTATGTTGGTCGATTAAATTGTGCAGACTAACACATCTCAGAGAAAGCACCGAAAACAGTGGGTAGCTTGCATACAACTAGATGCTTCGAAAGCGGTGGGAAGGTTTACGTACCTGAGCAGTTCAATTGATAAAAATGAGGGATTTGATGCAGATGTGAAGACACGGACTATCGGACAACACTACAGTCAAAATTTTCAATACGAACACCAAGACAGTTCTGTTGTACAGAGCTGATAATCGGAGAACCACTACAACTATCATCAAAAGGGTACAAGTACTCATAAACAGTTGTCTATGTAAGATACTCAATATCCGTATGCTAAACAACATCAGCCTACTGTAGGAGAGAACAAACCAACTTCCGACTGAAGAAGTTAGGAAAGGACACTGGAGATGGGTGGGTAAGACATACTCATACACACGCATCATGGAAATAATCAAACTGCATCTCGAAGCAAGACATAATATGAATTTCTTAAGCCAACAGCACAGACCGAAAAACACACTGAGTCGGGAATTCGAGGTAGACAAAAAAGAATGAATAGGACTTGGGAACAAACAGAAAGTTGAACCTAGGACAGAGTAGGTAGGAGAATCCGGATCGGCCGTGCATCCTTCACGTGAGATAACAGGTGTAAGCAAGTAACGCGAGACTTTGAATCATACATTATTTATGTACAAATTGATGTTGGTGATATTATTTGGCCGGGCCAATCGTAAGGGATGGTATATAAAATGGGTTTCGAACCAAAGATCTCACTTGTCCATGATTTAAAAAAAGAAATAAAACTATTTCAACTGGTGGGATTGAATATTCACACTAACTAGCATCGATGATAGGCCTGGTAACTTCAAAAAGAGATTCTCACTTCTTAACAAGTGTTTTGATTTTTCCCAAATGAATCACAAAGTTGTAATGAGTGTATCAGGAATGTATAACTGAACACTACCTAATAAACTTGAGACTTATGATAAGCGAAATGGCTAATATACTCCCAACCGTTTTTCTATTATATTTTGATGTAGATGAATCCTAACGTTACGCGAAAAAAAGTTTTACACAACAGAATTCTCATGTTTGTTTTCGTTCATAATGCTGCATTAATATTCCACTTTGGGATGATGAACAGAGTAAACCGTTTTTTTCTGGTAGAGCTTAAGTTTTGTCAAAATGCTAACAAGTCTCTCTACACACACACACACACAGCTAATTCATAGTAATTATCTACACCTTCCTTATGAAAATTACGCAACAATTAAAACTACAATGTAGCAAATTTCCTTACAAAAGTGAATATTCTCGAAATGAAGTCTCTACATGTATTACCCAAGGACTTTGAAATAAAGTCACCTCTGGAAATCAGACAAAATATATACGGTGACAGTATTGGATCATATAAATAACTTCATAGTATTCCGTATTCATATATTAGGATAGAACTAACTAGGAAATAAGAATATGAAGTAAGAGAGTTGTTTGATTCAGTTGAGAAATAATTCAAGTTCTGAACATAAGTGATTTTGAATGATTTCACTGTGCTTGAGATATTCTTTTTTGTTTGAATTTCATTTACATTGTAAATAGTTAGTCTGTGACCACGCAAAATCGTTAACTTCAGTTACTGATCGAGTTCACTCATTCACTTACGAACTTCATCGAGAACATGATATCCTAATGAATAAGCAATGTATTGTAGTATATGCCATCTTGGTCACTAATATCTACCTCACATATAAAATACTAGTTGTTGTAAGAGTAGGCAGCTCAGTGACTATGGAGTCCCATTTTTGACCACTAACTCCTACGTTCGAACCTCCTTCAGCCTAATTCGGTTTCGGCAACAAAGTAGTATTATTAACACCTACACTTAGAGTTGGCTCATACCTAAATACCTGGAAATTAGTTTATATCTATCTAGTATATTATATCTTACCTGAGCAAATAAGGAATGAGTTTCTAAACAATTGGGATATTTCTTCACTAATCGACGAAACTCTTCAATACGAGAATCCACTTTACTAATATCACCGGCAGTTAATGCGCATCGATATAGGGTGTACAAACGTTGAGCCTAAGATTTAAAAAGAAGAAAAAACAATCCAGAGAAAAAAATTAAACCAGTAACGAATGTTAGTAAAAAACAAATCATATTTTAGGGAGAAAAAGGGTGGATGAACATTAGGAAAGTATACACATTGAAGGATATATTTTAATATGGATATTTTATAAACCAACGAGATTCTGAATCACTAGAGATAGAAACAAAAGTTACTTAACGATTACTTAACACAAAAAGTTAAGTATTAGGATAGGACACTTGCAGTAGTAGTGGAATTTAGGAAGTGAGTCTCATTTTATCTAGGAGTCATCAGTGGAGATTTTGATACTGGGAAACATTCATAGCGAGTGTTGAATAATGAGGACTGCCCACTAAAATTTTAGATAATATCAGGACTGCATCATCCCGCTTTACGTGAACGTTTAGAAACTATAGCATATTTTCACACATTTCACACTCGCTATCAATGTTTTCAAATATCGAATTCTCCGCCAGATGATTAGCTCACTTATGTCGGGAAAGTAAATCGAGAGTGTGAACGATTAAAAATTAATGAAATTACAGCGAATTAGTTTAAATGTTTGATTGTTATCAACAGACGTTGAAATCCGCATCAGAATTTTAATGCACACTGAGCAGGAACCTAACATCACTTTGCAAATAGTCACAAACAAGTTTCAACGTTTGTTACATGTCAAACATAATGCAGCGATGGTGCAAGTGAAGGCAAAATCTTCCTATTTCGGGTCAGTGAATGCAGTCAAATCCTCCAAACAAAACACAAGAACCTGACGAGAATCCACGATCAACATGTTGGATTTGTGAATTATGTTCATTCGAGAATCGCATGTACCACCTCTGTCACTGCTCACCAAACGAAAGCTTATGGTTTATAGAATAACCTAGGGACAATGTTCTTACGATAATCTACCCAGGCGGGTTTATGAAGAGTTTACGACTTTTTACTGTACAAGTTACAAAAAAGTACAATCATCAGAGACATCGTAGTGGTTGGTAATATGCATTGAAATGAATCGACATTATTCAGATGTCGAGTTCTGAACTGTTAACATTTAACGAGAGATCACTCAATATTTATCGTCAGATTCGATCAAGAAATAAGGAACGGAAACTTGTTGAAATACTTTGTGCTGCGAATTCTATATTGTACCAAAAATATAATATTTAATAAAACCATAAACGATTATAATGATAAATGATCATCATTTTCCAGCCTATGTTAATGTGTTATGTAACAGTCCACTCACTCACCAACATTCACAACTATAGCCAACTACTAACCTGTGCAACTGAAAATTCCGGCTTTAATTTAACAGCTGTATTCAAATCATGCAATGCTTCATCTAATTGGTCAGCTAATAAATTAATTTGTCCTCGATGAAGATAAACATCCGGACATTCAGGCCAAACATTTTGTGCACGTTGAAAATCATAAAGGCAAGCAGCTACATCCTAGGTATGTGAAAAATATGTATGAAGGTGAATGTGATACAATAAACTGTAAAACACCAATGTGAAAAATAATCACTTTTAAACAATGTAAATTTATGTACAAATAGTCTATGCCAAGCGCTTCTGATACATTAGGCTTATTCATACTTCTATCTTTTTAATAGCATACGTAATATTATTGTCATTTCGACTATTTCGCTATTTATTTTATGTCGATTTCATCTCGTGTGGTTTTATAGTGTATCATAACTTGGAGATCAATACGCGTTTATCTCGTGCGGAAAATGAAAAATAACAAGGTTGAAGATCAAGAATCAGCGAAAAGAATAATATAAAAAGTCGATCTACGGAAAGTGAGACGATACATACACACACAATCACTGATAATAATCAATAATATCTGAATATGTCGAGATCAGAACAATTAGTTTGAACAGCTTACAACTTGTGGAGAAATTCTAACAACCCATTAAATTTGTGAGGTTTATGGCCATGTTGCTGACGTCAGTCAGTCAATTATCATAAACGTCAAAACCAAGCACAAGTGAGTTTTGCCTTAAATGCCAAGCAAAATTCATATGATAAAGTGAAATTTCAAAGATTGATTGAAAAACAGATCGAAATAATTTAGGACGAACATAAATAAGAAAGACTACAAATCAGGAATATAGTAGGAAAAGACAGAGTGAAAAGGTGTATATGAGGAAATATTGAGATTCAAAGCCAAAAGAAAAAAAAGTGAATGTATCTGTGCTATTGTGAACTTTTCTGAGCCATATCATCCTCCAGTCACTATCGCCGTTACTGCACAGACTCCAACAAAGTAATTTGCGTTCACCAACGTCGCTCAAATCAACAGTAATGTAATTTCATGATCCGATTGCAACATCAAGTAAAACATCTTTTGCAAGTAAGTTTTATCGGCTGGAAAATTCGCTTGACCGTTACACCACGGTAATTGGCTCCTGTTAGCAAAGTGTATTAGCAATCTCAAATAATGGTTCCCCTCTAGGACCCGAATCAATGTCATCTACTATCAAAGACAAAGGCATAATCAAAAACGCATATTCCGTTTGTGACCGATTTTTTCCCCTGAAAGACTGAGATATTTACGCTGATTAAAAAGTCAATATCATATTCAACCGATTCTTAAGACCACCAATCAAATTCAAAATGATCAAAGATTTTCTCCACACAAAATCATATATATATATATATATCTTTGCAGTTACTTCTATATCTGACTTCAGTGTTTTAGCTGGTATATCGTCTGGTTCTGGTGATTTCCACTTTTGATTTGTCTTATAGCCACGGTGATTTCTTCGGTGATTGGTGAATTAAATGTACAATGCCTAGTTTCGGAAAAATCCCATTTCAAACCAAAAAAATATCTAGGACTAAAAGCTAAACTATATACACACATTGATCTAACTTACTTGATCAACTGACATTGATAAACAAGCAGATTTAATCAATGCATTAACGCGAACCACTAATGAAGCTGCAGAGTCTACCATACCAATATTTTGAAAACGTTCTTTTGCTTCTTCAGAACGTCCAGCTAATGCTTGATAAGTAGCGTGTAAAAGTGAAATTTGATTATATACTTCTTTAATATACACTTGAATAGATTCATTTATTTTATTTTTATTGAGGGTGTCAGTATTATTTGAATTTGTGGTGATGCTATTGTTTTCTATGTCATCCAACTCATTTTCATTTTGATTATGTTCATTAGACTCAACAGAGGCGGGATTGTCATTTGGTTTTGAAATTGTTTCACCATTTTGATCGTCTAGTTGAGATGATGAATTAATCAAATTCTTTACATCTGCGAACGACTTATCCGATAAAATCTAAGTAAAAACAAGAAACAAACAGACATAAATATAGCAGTATTTATAGTGATTATCAAAAACAGTCAGTTTATTACAACGTAGGACACACAGAACAAATGTGTCTTGAGTCAAGTTTCCATAAGTCATTAGCATAACAAGATGAAATTATCAAGACAAATCCCAGAATATTAGAAGTAGCAACAATTTTAGTAGTAGGAGAAAACAGTAAGCATGGACGTTATTACGTAAGAAGAATGCATTTGCGGAATGATAGGTATAAGATAATTTTAGGGTGTAAAATATAAAAAAGAAGATATAGAATGAATTTATCTGGGGCATTGTGAACGATTCTGAACCATGTCACCCAGTCTTCAATCACTGATCACGGTTATCTTGCAGACCTTAACCACGTAGGCTGTATCCATTACCACACCTTAGACCAGCAATCAATGGGTTTATGGACTGACGTCGCAAATCGGTTTGATCACCTTTTTTTAATCTACTCTTACAACAGCTAACATTGCAGGTAGGAGGTGGGACACACGTGACACATTTCCTGACCATGTCAATCGATGAATACTCATTATCTTATAAACAGAATTATTATCTTTACCTAGTATCGTGAGTATAATCTTAGCATCGCCTATAAGTTGTTTCCAACATAAGTGGGCACTGCTTTGAAAACATTACTACAAATGATGGAAAAATAGTTTGGGACAAATGACAATAAGCTTCTCTTATTAAAGAGTATTTACATTACGCAAGTTATTTATTTATTGAATTTGCATCAAACTGGTCGGCAGCAGTTTCTACCGAGCCAGACCTAGTGAGTTCTGTGAATATTTTCTTTTGAATGTACCATATTTTCTAAACTTAAAAAAATGAGAAATTTCAGAAGTTGGGGATTTCAAAAGAGTAGTGACCTTGTTGATCAAAGTTTATGCATATATTGTGATTGATATTAATGGCATAACTACATTCATCGAAAATTATAATGATAGGATTGGATAATATTTGCTCCTAAATGAATTTATGGTGGTTTTACGTTTTCTTAAACGGATTCTTTACATGTACGCCTTTTGACAGATAAATGGTGAAGAGTTGAGTGTTGTATTGTTTGGTGTTCGAGTAGAAAGACTGAGAGTGAGAAAGGAAGTTTATTGACTAAGCGAATAGGCATGTTTATATATACATCCCTTAGAAAACTCCCTGGAATTAGAAGTAGTAACAGTATTAGCGATAATAGAACAGATTAGGCATCAAAGATACGATTCAAGAATAAGTTAGTGAAATAAGAAAAAAATTGTGGGGAATTCAGAAGCATCGGAAAGATAAAGAGTGGATGTACCATTAATCTGATGTAACTATCTATTGAGAAGACATAAAAAAGATGGTTGGTAAAAAAAATAGCACCTAAGAAAAGACACCTACTCTTCTACATCTACCAAAATTGAAGTTAGTAGCTTTTATAGAAAACAATCTCCCCGAAAAATCAAGCGCGTCTTCGACCTTAAAGACTGGTTCACGAAGCAATAGACGTCAGAAGACATACTTATATACACTATATATATAACTTTGGTTAATATTATCAATCATACATAACACATAATTTATAATAAAAGAAACGCTCACTCTTTCGAATAAATTAACAGCTTTCATTGAATAGTCAGCTGACTGTTGATAATCACCTTTTGTCATATAATTTAAGGCTAAATTTACATTTTTAAACGCTGATTGAAGAGGTTCTTTAAATTGTTCATAATCATATTGATTAAGATCGTTATTGTTAGGTAATTCTGTGGTGCTGGGCATATTTGATACAGGATGATCATCAGTTACTCCATTAACTGCAGTCTTAATAGTTTCAGTCGGTGAATTATGTTTGGATAGTTGTGAAGAAGTAACTGTGAATGGATTACATGCGAATGCGCTAAATTGAAGAAAAAGATGAGAAAGAAAAAAATTGTTAAATGTTCGTTGTATGAACACAAACAAAATACTGAGATGATGGAGAATATTTGTAGCTTGGGATGAGGATACTGAAAGTGTTGTAGTCTCTGGCAGATGTTGACTATATGGTTAGGATCTACGCAATAACTGCGTCCACATTGATTGGAGACGTTAAGTGATGTGGCACAGAGTAGGTTGAGATGGTTGAAATGTATTTACTCGTTATTTTCCCTCTGGTGTTTGAGTCTCAGTATTCCTCTGCATATACTTTCTTTCGCATCTATTTCTTTTATGATTAGTAATTTTTTAATATTATTAATTCTAATTGTTCGCCAACCCGGGACTTATTGATTGAATGTCGATCGTATTGATCATTAAGCTAACGCTTCAAAACTCTAAGTGATGACTAGCTCAATACATTGAAATTTGTCACCGACACTTTGTGAAATAGTGAGTGAGGAATGTTTATTTATGCTTCGGTATAAGATTATGAAGAGCTGGAGATAGATTGGGATATTAAATAATGAGATGTAAAAGAATCTGTGTGTAAGTAACAATTAAACTAATCACCCAAAATTAATTTAGCTCATCATACCTAGGATAAGTGTGTGTACACAAACATTCAACTGATTATGATAACATAGAAGGAAAAACAGACTTTGAACTATACTGATAAATATTACCAGTGGTTAAAACAAAATATTTATTCGTATGAAGAAATAAACATAAGAGGTAATAAAGTGGTTAAAGCCCTAGTCTTTCTGACGGTAAGTGGTTCTATAATATGGTAATTAGACTTGGATATTGTGATGACTCAACTGAGCTACACTAGCTAAAATATTAGTTCTTTCAGACTCTACTACATCAGGCGAGCCAATCAAAGGGCGACAAGACTAAAAGCAACAAACTTCTGGTACATGAGAGAAGTCGTTCTGTCAACTGTGAAGGCATATGACAGTAATATGTTGTTTCTCCCAATGAACCAGCATTCTCGATGGTGCTGCCATCCCACCATAATAAAATATAGACCCTAAAAACAGAACACCTTACTTTGCTTCATTGATTTCGGTCGCCGGTGATAAGACGTTAATGTTTCAGAACTAACACATTTAAAACGACTTATAAAAAGACGGTATGAGGTTAAACTCAAGTATTTATTCGTTCGGTCTTGGTTACGCTGCCAGTTCGTCAAGACCACTACTATTGATCTAGCTTTCATTCCAAATTTATCTAAAAAGTATCCTACCACGGAAGGCGAGAAACCGCAAAGTGACAACTGCCTTGTTCAAAATCAAATCACGATCTCACTACTTGATATATTTCTTCCGTTTTCTTAAATTATTTTACTTATTTATTTGAACACATAAATATTGGTACAAAGGGGCACCGAATACATATGCGCCACACAAGTCACTTGATTTATGTTGAGGCTGGAATACTCCCCGGGTGTCCGAACCGGAGCAGGTGGTTTCTTAGAGGGCCACACCCCGAGCCTTCGACCTTAAGATCTGATCCACAAGGCAGTGGACTAACGTAAGGAGATACAGTCTCATGGTAGCCGGTGATCAATAATTGGTACATACACCATTTGTTCCATCAGGGTTTCCCAACTTTACAGGTGGACTCACAGTGTCCACCGACCGGTTAAAGCGCCGGACATTAACTTTTTGTCGTTTTAATTTCGTAAACAACAGTAATGCCACGAGAAGGCAGTGAGTAGGAATTCCGTGACAGTTGCTGTATACGCGTGGCCATGTGAGGGCATTTCGAGGAGAGCGAACTCTCCTCACCCTCGGCCGTACCAGAGCGTTTGAGGGCTCGAATCGTATCTCTATCTATTTAAGTTTAGACAGATAAGAAACAGTATTATTATAACCATTGTACAGAAAGCTGGGCAAATAGAAATCTAAACATGCATATAATCATAGATATGAACAGAGTTAAATACTGTCTAGATAATCAAAATTCACTAAACTCTGTTTAATACAAATCTTAAAAGCCTGTTTAAACAAACATACATGTTTTTTAGTTGATTCAGTAAGAGTAATATATGTTGTCTTATAAAGAATAGTAAACAAGTTACGACAATAATAAATTGAAAAGTGAACAAGTCCTTATCGTTTAGTAGGAGTAAAAACAAGAAACTCTAATGGAAAATTCTAGATATGTTTTTATTTTGAAAAAACAATCCAACAGTAGTGGCTGTATTCATATGGCATTTATTTCATTATATTTATTTAAATTTGTCTAATCGATACGACAAGTCTTGAATATCCGGGACGTAAATGTCATATTACAAAAATAAATATACTATTTCATAATATATCTAAAGTGGGATGAATATGTGAGATCAAGCCCCAAAATCATAAGATGATCTCATTCCAACGTTTTGAGTCAGTTGAGGTCTGTATATAGGAAGTTTGTGTATAAGTATTAGACCCGAATACCGTGCACTATAATAAATGGTGTCAGAGGTATGAGGGCGGTTTCCGTTTCTTAGTTCCCCATAAGATGGAAGGATAATTTTTCTTAAAGTATCTTGGAAGATTAACTCAGCTGAGGGTGGTTCTTAACAATCTGAAGGTGTAACTACAGAGTCAAGGACAATTCTTTGAGGCCGATTATGGGCAGTTTTAAATATATTTTACCTAGGGAATTATTCAACTCTGAAAAGATGTTGATTCGAACTGTAAATTTCAAAATTGGTTGAGAAATGATTCATCTAAATTATGTAGTAAACCAATTCATGCATCCAAACATCTAAACTACTGAATTTCTTCAGGTGCAATGTTGAACAGATTAAATTTTCGCAATAACCAAATTTATAATGATAGACTGCCTCAGTTACCAGGCACAGATTAATGCACATTTTGAGTATGACACAACTCAACTACTCAAGCTGAAGAAGACAAAAAGGAGTTCTAGCTTGGAACTTGATAGCTGAAGACCTTTAAGACAATGTCATCGTTCCACGATCACAGTAATACATTATATATGACTAATAAAATCCGTGTTCATGAATAGAGTGACCTAATCAGTTCTCATTGGCATAAACAATACATGAAACTCTTTGCAATTAAAAAATTAAATATAACAATGAACAGAGTATGATGAAAAAGAAACAACTAAGAGATTTTAAGGTTAAAATCATCCATAAGAAGATAATGAGTGTAGTCTTTTTGTTTGTTTGTTTTCTGAATAACCATCAGGTAAAAAGATATATAGTTATTGAGCTAAGTAGTAGTAGTATCATTATTATGATTATGCAAAGGAATGGCTTGTCTACATCAGTTTTTCTAAACGCACGTAAATAATACATACATTAAACTGTCTTAAAAAAGATTCAATCGACACATAAGAAAAAGTGTAAAACAATTTAACCAAATAAGTTACTATGGTGATCCTCTCACTCAAACTTTAATAAATCACTTTATAAATAAGGGGTGTTAAAGGTAGTATTAACACCATACACAAACTAGTCCTTTGTTTATTTCATGTTTCATTATTAAGACAACTAACACTGATAATCGATGTTATTAGTGGTAACAACATGTCAGCAATGCTGATGTTCGGTAGTATGTATCTAGACACAGTGGCAATAATCCGGTCGATGTCACTGTCTTGAAACATCGGTTCCGATGGCTTAGACATATGCTATAAATATTATCCCAACAGCTTTCATATCGGGCATTACTTGCCTGCTACTCTGGAACCAGTTGGAAAAAGTGGGAAGGTGATCATTTTATAGTATGCAACTTTGGTATGAAAGAAAACTTCACAGGATTGGTGTGTCAGTCTTTCGTAAACCCATGGTTGGAGTCCTTAAGATAGTGCAACACAGTGGCTAGAGACCTTGTCAGATGTGGTTAAGAATAGAAGCTAGTAGGAGATCCTGTTGTGATTTTTTTTCCGGATTTCTACATAAAAGTGAGAGGAACTTCATTGGCTGAGAGGATTCGTCTTGGTTGCATTTGCCTTAACTGAACCCGCTTTTCCCATTATTTACATTTGTTTGCTTATTTTTATCTATCCATTGTTTCTTATTATCCGCAACCTCCTTCGTCTATCTCTTCACAATCTCATTTTCTGATTGTGTGGTACAGATATATTTGGTGCTCTTTTGTACCAACATTTAAGTATAAATAAAGAAAATAAATGCAACAAGCCGAGATCACTCATATGAATAAATATTTAAACTTAAAGCATCTTGGGATATTATCATGGTGAAGTAGTCGTCGTCAGTCGATCATTTGTAAAATAGAACGTGGTACACATGTATCCATCGGTTGTAACACCAAATCGGTACAACTGGATGAAATTATCAGGACAAATTCCAGAGTAGTAAAAATAATAACAGTCTCAATAGAAGTACAAAGAAACGATTTGGCATAGATGATATCATTCGAAAAGAATGAATTAGTGAAATAAAAAGTGTAGGATAAGTTTCAAACAAAAGACATAAAAGGAAGATAAAAACGGATATGTCCGAGCAATGTCATTCAGCGTCACCAATAATTGTCTATGGAAAATTGCATGAACCTCAACCAATATAACCCAATCGAACAATTAATGATTTTAATGGACTGTTGTCCTGTTTTAGTTTGGGTAGCTCTATCTTTTTTCTTCTAACTTACTCGTATATCAGCTAGCATAGAATGTCAACACAGCTGGTCCTAACCACGTCAATCGATGACGATTCGTAATCTAAAAAATTGATTTACTGTTTTTCCCAAGTAACTTCAGTCTAATCTTAGCATCGCTCACAAAACACGTAAGCAATACTGCTTTGAAAGAATGAATGGCCAAACACTAATAACCTGTAAGGGCCCTCTACTTTTAAAAGCCACGCTTAACAACTATAAATTGGAAGAGAACGTATAGTTAATCAATGTAACAATCCTTTGGTTGGCAAACAAACAATTCGTCTACACCATAAGTGATGGAACCTAGGATAAGTCAAACAAGCTTTTTTAAAACCCATATTGAAATTTCGTCAGATCCGGTGTATTAATAGTTGGTTTCAACCACAGTAAGAAGATCCAAAGGTTCGAATCTCCTTATGAAATTTTTGGTTTAGACAAACGGATAGGATGGCCAGCTTTTGTATTTAAAGTACAGATCTAAGAATCTCGCTACATAAAGTTTGAGTTTACTAAGTTTGTCTTAAGTATTAGCAAACGATCATCTATCATCTCACCTCAAATAATTACGAATAAAGGAAGCTGATGGTAATTCATGCAGTAATTTGGAACGTTCTTCTTGAGCTTTTTGTTGTCCAATTGTTTTAAGTACTTGATCCATGAAAACAATGTTGTCCTGAAATAAATAAATAATAATATGGATTATATTTGTATACTCCGTACAATTTATTTTGATAAAAACACAACGCCTTTTTGAAAGGAATTGTGATGTTTATATGTAATCAAAATTACCTTGTAGATTATTGTGGGGCTTATTCGAATAACAAAATACAATACCTTCAAATGTGTTCACTGCTTCCTCTCTTATTTGAGCCCTGGTTGAATATTAGAGTTCACACTGAACAATTCTAGGGAATTACTAGTTAGCATACTGAATTCTTCATAGTTGAAAGCATGAGTCAATTGGAGAAAGAACACCAAGAAAAACCTGGAAGTACTGGACGGCCGTTTCGTCCCATTGTGGAACTCCTCATCAATGTGCATCCACGATCTCGCCTCGCGAGATCTCAGCCCAGGACCTATCAGTCTCGCACCAGAGCACTTAACCGATAGACCACTTAGCTGGCATCCGATGATGTTGATGTCTAACTTTAACCAATCCACGAAGTTGAGCAACCGTTCACCAATTGTCTTCAGTGAGTTGTTAACTCACAACAGACGTGGTTGAACTCCACTGGTCACTGCTTCTCGCCAGAACTCCAGGAAATATCTCTTGAAGTCAGTCACTAGTGAGCATATGATAATAGTCAGGCGGAAGTCCACAAGGAACTCCAACTCTTGAAACGCTACAAATCACCGGGCCCAGATGACTTACCTCCGGCTCTTTCTAAAGATGGTGGTGACTTTCTGGCTAAGGAACTGACGGTGTTGTTTACAAAGGTTTGGGAGCAAGAAAGTGTTCCAACATCATGGAATGAGTCAATAGTTGTCCCTATCTTTAAAAAGGGTTCACGTCGTTCCTGTAACAACTATCGGGGGATAAGTCTACTTCCGATTGCGTCCAAACTATTGGCTTCTGTCATTCTTCGTAGGTTGTTTAAAACCCGAGAACGATTGACTCGCGAGGAGCAGGCTGGTTTTCGTTCTGGTCGAAGATGCATTGATCATATATTCACCCTCCGCCAAATGTTAGAACACTGTCATATTTATCGCAGGTCAACAATCGTAGTGTTTCTTGATATCAGGGCGGCCTTCGATTCGTTGGACAGGACTGTTCTCTGGGATTGTCTATTGAAGAAGGGTGTGCCTGAGAAGTTCATTAACATCTTAAAGGCCCTGTACACGAACACCTCAGGCAGAGTGAGGGCATACAACCACCTTTCTCCCTTGTTCCATTCGAGCAGTGGGGTTAGGCAGGGTTGCCCGATCTCACCATTCCTCTTCAACTTTGCCATCGACGACATCTTGGAAACAGCTCTGGTGGATGTAAGTAATGGCGGTGTGGATATGTTGCCTGGAGAACGACTTCTCGACCTTGAGTATGCGGATGATATTGTCTTACTGTGCGATAATGCCCAAGACATGCAATCCGCACTTAATCAGTTGGCAGGTAGCTATATAAGTGCTGGTGGAGGCGTGAGCGATGAGATTGATGCACGTATAAGGAAAGCCAGAGCGGCTTATGCCAATCTGGGCCATCTTTGGCGCCTTCGTGATGTTAGTCTGGCTGTAAAAGGTCGGATTTACAACGCGTCGGTGAGAGCAGTTTTGCTCTATGCTTGTGAAACCTGGCCTCTCCGAGTTGAGGATGTTAGACGTCTCTCTGTGTTCGATCATCGTTGTCTCCGAAGAATTGCTGACATCCAGTGGCAACACCATGTTAGTAATGCAGAAGTTCTGCACCGTGTGTTCGGGCGCCGAGACGATAATTCAATTGGTGTCACCATCTTGAAACATCGACTTCGGTGGCTTGGACATGTTTTACGAATGTCGTCCCAGAGACTTCCACGTCGTGCATTATTTGACGACTCTGGGACTGGTTGGAAAAAGCGGAGAGGAGGTCAGTGTATGACATGGTGTCGTGGTATGAAAGAAAGCTGGAAAGGGCTAGCTTCTGTTGGTCCTTCACGACTCCCTGGCTGGGGTCCGAGAGATGGTGCAACACAGTAGCTAGGGACGTTATCAGATATGGCTCAGAATAGAAGCCAGTGGCGATCCTGCTGCAACCTTCTTTTACTTTCTACATAAAGAGTGGTTCTAACTTTCTTAATTGAAAGAGTCTTCTTATCTTTTCATCCCTTCTCTTCCTACTTTCATTATTTTGTGTGGCGCATATGTATCTGGTGCCCTTTTGTACCAATATATATGTGTTTAAATAAATAAATAAAATAAATAGTCAGAAGGGGTTTTTTGTGGAGATTTCAGTATTTTCATGGTTGAAAGTTAGACATTAACACCATCGGATGCCGGCTCAGTGGTCTATCGGTTTCACAATAGGACGAAACGGCCGTCCAGTGATTTCAGGTTTTCCTTGACGGTCTAGCTTCAATCGACTCATGCTTTCAACTATGAAAATAGTGAAATCTTCACAAAAAACCCCTTCTGATTATACTGAATTCTACCACTTCTACTTATCATAGGGACTCAGTGAATGATTAATACATTACACAAAGTAGGACCAGAATACGAAATTGTAATAAACATCGATCCATGTAAATTAACGATGAATTTGATTCCTTATCGAGAAAGTATGGTTATGATGATTACTTTTTGTCCACCACCTGATAATGTAAAAATTGATTTCTGACGAAAACTGATAATGTTAACCTCTTTTAGTCAACTAATCATCAACTAGTGTAAAACCTAGGAGAAATATAGATTAATACACGTTTCTGATTATCTAGCTCATTTATTAAGAACAAATTCATGTGATTGGCTTTGAACCACACTTTAAATATGACAGAGAGTGATACTGCGTGGCTTCCCAGACCAAAGTAGGTGGAGTAGAACTTGAGACCGAGTGGTTGGAAGTCAAACACTTTAACCACTAAGTCATTGGATTCAGATAAAAGGTGTAAAATAACACTGAAACTTAATAATTGAAAGAAGAATGAATAGATATTTGTTAGACTATAACTAATTTTGAGTTATGTCACTTGGCTTATATTTATATTATCATGGTTAACTATCCGACCGATGAGTTCTCCTGCTTGTATGTAGTAAATAATATCAAACGGATACCTATTATACAAGTCAGATAACCTAAACGCCAATTCTGTAACTAATCTCAAAAAAGCATTCATATCATATCAGATAACACAAACAGGCCAGTCAGATAGTGGGATACACAAAGTTATCTGTAACACATTGTGTAATCACACAAAAGGTTATTCATCAGAGCACAAATAGTGAAACCTTAACGCCAGCTCAAATATTACTTAAGTAATAACATTAAAGCTCATAACGTTTACTAGTAGTTTCCCACGTATATGTAGACACATAAAGTAGTAACCGATATACCCAGTGCTCAGAACTATGCGATACATAATTTGCTAGTAACTAATCATAAGTATCTTGTGTTTAGTGAAACAATCAAATGAACAGTGTGCTAAGGTTACATTCATACACAATCTATCAATAGACATATTATTGTCATAGAAAAAAACTAATCACTTACAGCATTTCTAAATTTTTCAAAAATACAACAAGCTGTCATATCTAAAAGGCATTCATCCCACTTTTTTAATTTTTCATACAAATGAGCTCGACGATTTAATGCTTTCAAATAATGTGGTGTTAATGATAATGCAAGTGAACAATCTTCAATGGCGGATTCGTATTGACGTTGATTCTCTTTGGCTGCTGCACGATTTTGATAGAAAGCTGCACGTTCCTAAATAATTTGAAAAAAATGTTTGGAATGTCATAGTTTGTTATAAATAATCAATAAAACACTTTACAAAATATGGTACAAAACGAATGAGAATGCAATAAACACCACTGTCAGTACCACGAAAAGTTTTCAATAGTGTTGCTGAACCGGATGAAGGATTCAGTAGACACCTTAGCTAAGAGATTAACAGACCGGATTCCGTAATGATCGGTCGTGCACAGACCAAATCACGACACTACAGATCATCCTTAAACAATCAGTTGAATGGAACACGTCAATGTACATCAACTTCATTGACTATGAGAAAGCGTTTGACAGTGTGGATAAGAGAATATTATGGAAACTTCTTCGATATTATGGAGTACCTGCGAAAATCGTCAACACAATTCGGAATTCGTACGATGGACTACAGCGCAAAGTCGTGCATGGAGGATAGCTGACAGACTCATTCCAAGTAAAGACCGGAGTCAGACAAGGCTGCCTATTTTTCCCTCTTTCTTTCTTCTGATGGTTGACTGGATTATGAAGACCTCGACATCTGACGGGAAGCGCAGCATACAATGGACAGCTTCCATGCAAGTAGACGATTTGGCCCTTCTGTCCTATACACACCAACAAATGCATATGAAGACAACTAGTGTAACAGCAGCCTCTGCATCAGTAGGCCTCAACATAAACAAAAAAACCAGCATCATCAGTGAACGTGGAGGATCTGATGCAGATATAAAGGCGAAGATTAGCACAGTAAGGACAGCATCCCTACGGTTGAAGAACATAAGGAACTAAAAACAACTATCAACCAATATCAAGGTCAGAATCTTCAATACGAATGTAGAGACAGTCCAACTATACGGAGGTGAAACTTGGAAAACTACCACAACCATCATCAAAAATGTACGAGTACTTATAAAGAACTGTTTACGTAAGATAATGAATGTCCGTTACATGGATACCATCAGCAACAACTTACTATGGGTGAGAACGAACCAGCTTCCAGCTGAGGAGGAAATTAGGGAAAGACGCTGGGAGTGGATAGGAAACACATTGATGAAGTCATCAAACTTCATCACGAGGCAAGCGATAATTTGGAATCCTGAAGGGAAACGAAAAACAGGAATGCCAAAGGAAACACTGCGTCAAGAATTGGAAGACATGAAAAGGATTGTCCAGGACAGAGTTGGAAGGAGAATGCCAGTGAGTAACATATGCTCCTCCATGAGGGGTAACAGGCATAGGTAAGTAAGTACTTGTCGTGGTTAGCTTATATGTCACCTTTCCAAAAGCTCATACGTGATCAAAATATCAAGGATAACGGCTGTTATTCTGGACAAACGTTGAAGCATTTACATCATTTTATGGCATCTCAACTATGGAAATTCAGTGTGGTTATTGTATCGTCAGTAGGATGATAGTGTTATCCGAATAGGTTTATATTCCCTGATCTAGAATAGGATAATCATTTGATCGACAAACCTTTCTAGTAGGTCTGGAATTTCCTCGATTTTCTTGTAGTTGGTGATATCCAGTAGTTCCAGTTTAGAGCTAAGTGTTATTCACTAATCTGAACACACAAACCAAACCCCACAAACTACTGAATTTGTGTGGACTGCAATACTGCCCGGGTGCCCAAAACGGAAGCGGTCTTCTTAGAGGCTCTTCCCCGAACCTTTGACTAAAAAATCCAATCAACAAAGCAATGGAGCAACGTTAGGAGGAGTGGACTCTTCGTACCCACCAAATCGGTTTGAGCCAACGCCAGACAATAGCTTTTCGTCTTCTCAACTTTGCAAACATACCCGCACGAGAAGGCACTGAGTAGAACTTCTATGTCAGTAGCTGTATATCCGTGGCTAATGAGAGTATTTGAAGAGGGAAAGCCGACTCTTTCCATCCTCAGTTGTACCAGAGAATTTGAGTGTGAGTCCAGTGGAAGTTAGAAGTGGATGGAATTACATACGATTAATCACCGTGGAGTCAGATACTGGATTACATGTTATTTAGAAAGGCTGTGGACCTTATTTGTATATTATTATCGTAGAAACAGTTTAGTCAAATGATATTTATAACAAATACTTGTAGGTTGTATAATTTGAAACTTCGATTGAAATACTGAGTTTTTGATTCCTGATTTCAATCGTCACGACATATGACAGTTGGTTGGATGCAGCAAGTGAACTAGTCTAGATAGCATTTATAGTGATGGTAATCAGGAAGCAGCTCATTTGACGAGTACAGATTCGTATACTCAACTATCAACCACATTTCATGTGTGAGGGTCGGCGATTACTATTCGGATACCCAGACAAGATGTGAGTGGGGACTTGGACTTCCTACTTAATGGTAAGAAGTCGAACCCCTTAATCAATAAATTACCGCTTCTATCTAATGTGGTAAATTAGCATTGGTACTTTGAAGAATAAATAAGAATCAGTTTTTGGTCTGAAAATAAAGAAAAAGTTATATTGATCACATTTTAAACTAAGGTAACTAAGTGTAATAGTTGTACTGTATTTATTTATTTGAGCACATAAATATTGGTACAAAGTAGAACCGAATACATATGCGCCATACGAATTGCACTGACCTGAACTGCATCCAATGGACATTTCTTAAGACCTTCATCATATAAACTGATTGCCTGAGAGTATTGCCCACCCTTGAAAAATTTGTTTCCTTTTAGCTTTAACGCTAAAGCAGCCTCTAGTGGTGTTTCTGGAGTAAGTTCAGCTTCACTCTTCTCTCCTGTAAAAAAATGGATTCATTAGTGCCTACATTTTCTTTCAAAGAATAATTTGACATCAAACATTACTTAAATACGAATACTTTACTACAACTGAAAAACTTAGCACATCTTCACAATCCCAGAGGAACAAAAGTAACGTGTTTGTTACAAATTGAATGCACAGGTCGGGCGTCTAGACACAGAGGAGAGTCGTCTAGGTGGCCGATGGGGACTTGTTGGTCGCCGGACAGATGACGGGGACCGTCTACCGCAACTGTAAACAGACTACAACATGTTTCTGACTAGCGCTAACTTCCGGTACAGTCATCGCCGATGTGCTACCTGGCGTCCTCCCTCTACATCTCAAGCCTGGACTCAGATTGATCACATCGCGATCAGCTACCACTGGCGTGGTTGTGTACAAGACTGCCGCTCCTTTTGGAGTACCTATCTGTAGTCTGATCATGCCCTGGTCTGCGCCAATCTTACCTTACTTTTCAATGGCCAACGAATTGACCGTCATCAACAGATTGGTGTTAGTAAACTGGTTGCAACTTCTGTTGCAAGTAAGTATCGAGCCAAGCTAGCTTCTAGGCTAGCTACCATCCCACCAAAAAGTATAGATGAGCATTGGTTGCATCTTCACGACGCCATGAAAATGGCGAGTAAAACCGCTTGCGGCTTCGCGAAACGTCCCGCTTACAAGCACTGGGTCTCTTCTGGCTCCTTACAACTGATCGAAGCCCGTCGGTCTACTCCGGGTGACCGTGAGTATGACCACAAACGAAGGCTGTTACGCAACGAAATTGGGCAAAGCTTGCGTAAGGACCGAGTAGCCTGGTGGTCGGAGCATGCTAATGAGATGGAAGCAGCAGCTGCATTTGGTAACTGCCGGAAGCTCTTCCAACTTATCCGAGCCACTGGCACCAAGAAGTTTGGTGTGAGTGAAACAATCTACGAGGATGATGGGATGTCAATCACTAACATCTATCGACGTCTTAGACGATGGGCGGAATTCTTTGAAGGGCGGTTCAACTGGCCTGCTGCACCGGCAACACCGACCACATTGTCCTGCTCTCTATGGCCGGTGAAGACTGATCCACCAAACGAGGCGGAGGTCCGCAAGGAACTTCAACTCTTGAAACGCTACAAATCACCGGGCCCAGATGACTTACCTCCGGCTCTTTCTAAAGATGGTGGTGACTTTCTGGCTAGGGAATTGACTGCGTTGTTTACAAAGGTTTGGGAGCTAGAGAGCGTTCTAACGTCATGGAATGAGTCGATAGTTGTCCCTATCTTTAAAAAGGGTTCACGTCGTTCCTGTAACAACTATCGGGGGATAAGTCTACTTCCGATTGCGTCCAAACTATTGGCTTCTGTCATTCTTCGTAGGTTGTTTAAAACCCGAGAACGATTGACTCGCGAGGAGCAGGCTGGTTTTTGTTCTGGTCGAAGATGCATTGATTATATATTCACCCTCCGTCAAATGTTAGAACACCGTCATATTTATCACAGGCCAACAATCGTAGTGTTTTTTGATATCAGGACTGGCTTCGATTCGTTGGATAGGTCAGTCAGTCACAACGTAGAACTTCGTACGTACGTACATCAGTTCGAGTTGCCATACCAAATTAGCACAGAGATGAAGTTGTCGATTCAAATCCTATAGTGGTAGAAGTTAGTAAGAGTATAAGCATTATGTGAAAGATTAGGGTTTGAAGATGCTATTGAAGGAGTATAATCCAGTAAAATAAATTTGGAAAGAGAAAAAGGATAGGGACATGAAGAATTCAGAAGATTAGAATTTGGTAGAACACAAAGAGTGGATGCACCTTCACCACTGCAAACGATTTTGAGCCATGTCATTCAAGGTCTCTAACCATCGGTTGCTATCATCTCGCGAATCCCAACCAGGTAGTCTACACCTACTAATATGGCTCAGTCCATTTGTCAGTGACTTCATGGATTTGTGCCACGTTTTGGTCTGGCCGCCCCTAGCTTTCTTCCAACCTACTCGTACACAATGGAACATTGCACGTCTGGGTAGTCGGTGGTTGGGCATACGTAACACGTGTCCCAACCATCTCAACTGATGAAGTTTCACTACTTCATCAATCGATTTGCCATCCTTACCTAGTACCCGTTTCCTAACATCTGCATTACTTACCCGGTGGTCCCAGGATATACGAGCAATGCTTCAAGGACATATATGATCGAATAATAGTAGCCTACGAATGTCCTCTACTATTATCGGCCATGTTTCACTGTCATAAAGTAGAACGGAACGAACTGCTGCACAGTAAACCCATCCATTGGTTGCTAGACGGATATCTCGCCTACGCAATAATTGACGCAAGTCGGCGGAAGCTAGACGAGCCTTTTGTATCCGTGCTGAGATTTCGTCACACACCAGACCACAAGGGCTGATGAGAAATAAACACGGGTAACTTTCGGGACCTATCAATGGACTATTATATATATATATATATTCTTATTGTTTAACTATTGAGTGCCTAGATTGTATATATCTATTTTCATCTTAATATAAGCTTCGTTTTGATCTATGAATTATTACTGTACGATTTACTGCTCCCAAATTATATTCAGTTTATCGATTACTGTATCCCATGTTCACAGCCACATTTGGCTTGATCTTGTACAAATATTATTTTCTATTTTGTGGTGTGATGCGGTCTGTCTGTCTGGTATATAAACAGAGTATGCTTGAAATAAATTATTCACATAGCAGAAGCCGCAATCGGTCTTCTGGACTCAATTGGAAGGGCTAGGTGGACAAGGGACCAATAAGGACATTAGACTGCTTATACCAATTGAATGTTATTGATTTGTTACAGTGTTAATATTAGGAAAGTCGTATTTCGATTGGTGGATAATAGCCGGACGTAAAATCAATAGCGAATTAGCATACGTCCTATTATTTTTTATAAAGTCATAACACTTTGCACCTTCGAAGTGCGAAGTACTCCTACAAGACTGGCAGGATTTAATCCTGTACTCACCCTGGGTGGTGAGCAGATCGAAGTAGTTGAGAAGTTCGTGTATCTAGGTAGCTATATAAGTGCTGGTGGTGGCGTGAGTGATGAGGTTGATGCACGTATAAGGAAAGCCAGAGCGGCTTATGCCAATCTGGGCCATCTTTGGCGCCTTCGTGATGTTAGTCTGGCTGTAAAAGGTCAGATCTACAACGCGTCGGTGAGAGCAGTTTTGCTCTATGCTTGTGAAACCTAGCCTCTCCGAGTTGAGCATGTTAGACGACTCCCTGTGTTTGATCATCGTTGTCTCCGAAGAATTGCTGACATCCAGTGGCAACACCATGTTAGTAATGCAGAGGTTCTGCACCGTGTGTTCGGGTGCAGCGACGAAAATTCAATTGGTGTCACCATCTTGAAACATCGACTTCGGTGGCTTGGACATGTTCTACGAATGTCGTTCCAGAGAATTCCTCGTCATGCATTATTTGCTGACTCTGGGACTGGTTGGAAAAAGCGGAGAGGAGGTCAGTGTATGACATGGTGTCGTGGTATGAAAGAAAGCTGGAAAGGGCTAGCTTCTGTTGGTCCTTCACGACCCCCTGGTTGGGGTCCGAGAGATGGTGCAACACAGTAGCTAGAGACGTTATCAGATATGGCTCAGAATAGAAGCCAGTGGCGATCCTGCTGTAACCTTTTTTTACTTTCTTCATAAAAAGTGGTTGTAACTTTTTTTAACTAAAAAAGTTCTAGTTGTATATTTCTGTTTCCCTCATTATTCTTATTATTACACTAAAATACACTAATCTGTGGTTATTATTGTTCTTTTCTTTTTCTTACATGTACCGTATCCTCTTTTTATCCTCACAAATTCATTGTTATTAAGTGGCGCATATATATTTGGTGTCCCCTAGTACCAATGTTTATGTGCAAGTAAATAAATAAGTAAAATAGGTGGGAGTAGATTAGTATTTAATTATCTAATCTACCACTGGTTACAAGTGTGAAATATGTTTCGTTTGAGCAATTAGGCAATATACAAAATCAAATAGCGGTTACAGGGCATCACCTTTTTTAAAGGAGAAACACAGAAACCAACTCAACGTACCTAAATAATATGATAACTAAGGAGGATCACGGTTACTTGAGATACATTTCAATAAAGTTTTTATTTATTTATTTAAACACATATATATTGGTACAAAAGGGCACCAGGTACATATGCGCCACACAAAATAATGAAAGTAGGAAGAGAAGGGATGAAAAGATAAGGCGGACTAAAATGTACAACCAGAAGACTCTTTCAAATAGGAAAGTAAGAACCATACTTTATGTAGAAAGTAAAAGAAGGTTGCAGCAGGATCGCCACTGGCTTCTATTCTGAGCCATATCTGATAACGTCTCAAGCCACTGTGTTGCACCATCTCTCGGACCCCAACCAGGGAGTCGTGAAGGACCAACAGAAGCTAGCCCTTTCCAGCTCTCTTTCATGCCACGACACCATGTCATACACTGACCTCCTCTCCGCTTTTTCCAACCAGTCCCAGAGTCGTCAAATAATGCACGACGTGGAAGTCTCTGGGACGACATTCGTAAAACATGTCCAAGCCACCGAAGTCGGTGTTTCAAGATGGTGACACCAATTGAATTATCGTCTCTGCGCCCGAACACACGATGCCGAACCTCTGCATTACTAACATGGTGTTGCCACTGGATGTCAGCAATTCTTCGGAGACAACGATGATCGAACACAGAGAGACGTCTAACATCCTCAACTCGGAGAGGCCAGGTTTCACAAGCATAGAGCAAAACTGCTCTCACCGACGCGTTGTAAATCCGACCTTTTACAGCCAGACTAACATCACGAAGGCGCCAAAGATGGCCCAGATTGGCATAAGCCGCTCTGGCTTTCCTTATACGTGCATCAATCTCATCACTCACGCCACCACCAGCACTTATATAGCTACCTAGATACACGAACTTCTCAACTACTTCGATCTGCTCACCATCCAGGGTGAGTACAGGATTAGAATCCTGCCAGTCTTGTAGAAGTACTTTGCACTTGGAGGGTGCAAAGCACATGCCGTACCTGCGGACACTGATTGCCAACTGATTAAGTGCTGATTGCATGCCTTGGGCATTATCGCACAGTAAGACAATATCATCCGCATACTCAAGGTCGAGAAGTCGTTCTCCAGGCAACATATCCACACCGCCATTACTTACATCCACCAGAGCTGTTTCCAAGATGTCGTCGATGGCAAAGTTGAAGAGGAATGGTGAGATCGGGCAACCCTGCCTAACCCCACTGCTCGAATGGAACAAGGGAGAAAGGTGGTTGTATGCCCTCACTCTGCCTGAGGTGTTCGTGTACAGGGCCTTTAAGATGTTAATGAACTTCTCAGGCACACCCTTCTTCAATAGACAATCCCAGAGAACAGTCCTGTCCAACGAATCGAAGGCAGCCCTGATATCAAGAAACACTACGATTGTTGACCTGCGATAAGTATGACGGTGTTCTAACATTTGGCGGAGGGTGAAGATGTGATCAATGCATCCTCGACCAGAACGAAAACCAGCCTGCTCCTCGCGAGTCAATCGTTCTCGGGTTTTAAACAACCTACGAAGAATGACAGAAGCCAATAGTTTGGACGCAATCGGAAGTAGACTTATCCCCCGATAGTTATTGCAGGAACAACGCGAACCCTTTTTAAAGATAGGGACGACTATTGACTCATTCCATGATGTTGGAACACTTTCTTGCTCCCAAACCTTTCCAAACAACACAGTCAATTCCTTAGTCAGAAAGTCACCACCATCTTTAAAAAGAGCCGGAGGTAAGTCATCTGGGCCCGGTGATTTGTAGCGCTTCAAGAGTTGGAGTTCCTTGCGGACTTCCGCCTCGTTTGGTGGAACAGTCGTCACAGGCCATGGGGGGGCAGGACAAGCTGGTTGATGTTGACGGAGCAGCAGTCCAGTTGAACCGCCCTTCAAAGAATTCCGCCCATCGTCTAAGACGTCGATAGATGTTAGTGATTGACATCCCATCATCCTCGTAGATTGTTTCACTCACACCAAACTTCTTGGTGCCAGTGGCTCGGATGAGTTGGAAGAGCTTCCGGCAGTTACCAGATGCAGCTGCTGCTTCCATCTCATTAGCACGCTCCGACCACCAGGCTTCCCGGTCCTTACGCAAGCTTTGCCCAATTTCATTACGTAACAGCCTTCGTTTGTGGTCAAACTCACGGTCACCCGGAGTAGACCGACGGGCTTCGATCAGTTGTAAGGAGCCAGAAGAGACCCAGTGCTTGTAAGCGGGACGTTTCGCGAAGCCGCAAGCGGTTTTACTCGCCATTTTCATGGCGTCGTGAAGATGCAACCAATGCTCATCTATACTTTTCGGTGGGGTGTTAGCTAGCCTAGAGGCTAGCTCCGCTCGGTACTTACTTGCAACAGGAGTTGCAGACAGTTTACTAATATCAATCTGTTGGTGGTGGTCAATCCTTCGGCCACTGAAAAGTAAGGTGAGATTGGCGCAGACCAGGGCATGATCAGACTACAGATAGGTACTCCAAAAGGAGCGGCAGTCTTGTACACAACCACGCCAGTGGTAGCTGATCGCGATGTGATCAATCTGAGTCCAGGCTTGGGATGCAGAGGGAGGACGCCAGGTGGCACACCGGCGATGACTGTGCCGGAAGTTAGTGCTGGCCAGAAACAGGTTGTGGTCTGTGCACAGTTGCAGCAAACGGTCCCCGTTATCTGTCCGGCGACCAACAAGTCCCCATCGGCCACCTAGACGACTCTCTTCTGTGCCTAGACGCCCGACCTGTGCATTCAAGTCTCCGGCTAGTACTACAATATCTGTCGAACGCGCTTTCTGGAGAAGAACTGTTAACTGATGGTAAAACTCATCCTTGATTGCATCCGGGCTGCAATCTGTCGGGGCATAGGCGGAGATGACGAAAAGACACCATTTCTCACGCCGGTTTCTTCTCACTTTGATGGAACTTTCTAATCTAACAGCACATAACCGACTGTTAATGGGGAACCAATCGATTAGTGCTGCCTCAGCCCTAGCGCTTAGTGCGACACCAACGCCAGCAAGACCAGACGAAGATGTCACAGGGTCCCCGGATAAGCGCACGTGGAACAAGCTTTTCGAGACAGATGGAGAGCGGATTTGTAGTACTTCACTAGAGTCTTGAATACGGGTCTCGGATAGACAGCAAACATCAACATTAAGACCTTCCAAAGACATAGCCAGCCCTATCTGTTGTCTGATCTGCATTAGTGTGCGAACGTTGAAGGAAGCCAGCTTGAACGGCGTACGCGGTTTCAGAAAGACTGCCTCAGTATTCATTATCGGTGGAAGCATTCACTTTCAACCAGACAGTGACTGGAGATCGTTTAGATAGGACAGATTTTCCACCAAGAGCGAGCTGATGCATAAGTTGAAGAGTAAGGTTACACAAATTGGGGATAAAAGGGGGTGAATTAGCGATATGGTAAGTAATAATAATAATAATAATAATAATAATAATAATAATAGTAATAATAATAATAATAATGATAATAATAACGTAAATTGTCTTGCCTATAATATGAGCAGGAATAGAATCGTCAATAGAGTTCGTCATTTCATTCATTTGTGTGTGGGCTGTGATACTGCCCGGGTGCCCAAACCGAAGCAGGTGGTTTTCTTAGGGGGCCACACCCGGAGCCTTTGACCTAAAGGTCTGATCCACAAGGCAGTGGAGCATCGTGAGGAGATGCAGTCCCATGGTAGTCGTTGACCAATGACAGGTTCTTCCGCCATTCGTTCCATCAGGAAACTGGAGCCCATGTGCACCATTGGTTTGGAATCAGGGTTTTCCAACTCCCCTAGGTGGACCCTCCGTGTCCACCAATCCGGTTATAGCGCCGGACATTCGATTTTCGTCCTCTCACTTTCGTAAACAACACCCCCGCCACGAGAAGGCAGTGAGTAGGACTTCCTGACAAAGGCTATATATTCGCTGGCCATATGAGAGCATTTCGAGAGGGAGAGTAGACTCTCCCCACTCTCGGCCGTACCAGGGCATTTGGGGGCATTTCAATAAAGTATGGGGTTAATAAAACAGCAATACTGATTAGGTATATGAAATCCATCTGAAATAAACTCGACGGCACAGGACAATATAGTTTACATCACTTAGTTGAGGATTTATGCGGACGAAACTTCCTGATGGTTAGTTCCGAGGAAGATATGTGAAATCACGTAGTCTAACCACGCTACTAAATATAGAGTTTAATGATACCATCCAACTGCCTGAACTAAAGTTAGGGGAGATTAAGGATAGGAAATAACACCATAACTGCTTACCACTGAATAATAAACAATGTGCATCAAGTCTTGAAATTAAAAAAACAACAAACTAATTATTTTTCGCGAGATCCTTCATTCAATGTAGGCTTTTAATATAGTTTAAAACCGTTCAAGAAATTGCACATAGGAGACGCCCTTAAACTAGAAACTTAAAGTGAATGATCTCAAGCAACTAGGCTGTAAACTAGTGCGATCTGTTTGTCTTGCAAGGGTAATGCAATGTGCAAGCCGAAATTTCGTCATGATGCTACTAAGCTGCACTAACCGAAGGTGGGGCTGAATTTTAGCCTACATCCCAACGGCTGGATGAAAGCTGCGTTAGCTACGAAGCTATCATGTATGTCTTCACATGAACGAAATAGTACGATTTTAATACGAAAGCAGTAAGTAAACGATTTATTGGAATACCGAGCCAACCAAGGCCAGTTTTATAAACGCGTCTGAGAGTCTGTTGCAGGGCTTAACTCGCCTTCTACGAAATCTTTACTGAACAACCACACTCCCAAACATAAATTTCACGAATTTCCTTGAAGTCATTCAGACTGAATTGACAAACTGATAGGATACATTTCACTATTTCACTAACAGCACTTACTACCTAGACATGGTAATACCCAAGTATGCAACCAATCTTTCACGATCTACATGAATATGAATTACCGACGAACTTCACATCAAACCCATAAGGACATGATTTAAGCAACTGAGTACGTAAGGGAATGCTATAAATTTTATACATAATTTCAGAGCATTGGTGTGATCTAACATAACTGTATCTGCAATGAAACATCTTAACAAGTAGTTTTACATGGGAAAATCATTTGGACGGTTACTTGATATACGCGTACAAGCTATTAAACTAAATAGAAACCACTTAATTAGCAACGCGTCTGTATGCGGCCTCATTAAAAATGATATGAGGTAGACAGCTAAATCTAAGGATTAAAGACAGGAAGATTAAGTAGCATCACGGGCAACAGCTTGACGAAGTGAAAGACAGTAGATTACATTCACAACTAACTAAACAATATACGGTGAAAGTTAACGGGAAGGATTAGATCAGACTCTGGGTGAGATATCGTGAAGATTTGAACGTGAACAGATATTTTCCTGATAAAGTCAGTTAAAAACCTAGATTATACAGAGGGATAAGTATTATAGTCGTTACATAAATCATGAATATGGTATATATATATATATATATATATATTGCTAAATCAATTTACGTCAGTTTGCTTGCTAAAACGACGAGATAACTCGAGACAATGGAAAAGCAAAGCACTTCCAGAAAACTCATGACTTACTTTTGTTTCTGAGGTAATACACAAGGACGGTCAAACCGGCTATACCAAGCGGGATACCGATTGTGACTGCAGTCCTCCAGGATATTCTTGACAACAGTTTAGACCTCCAGCTCTGTAAGTGCAATGAAGATATCTAAAAAGAACATACGTATGAGTTGTCATCAATGACTAGACGGGATAACGACATGATTTACGGTGAGAAAAGTAAATCCCGTCAGTAAACCACGAGTTCCGAGAAGATTGAATAAAGCGCAGTAAATTCGAATCCTAAATGGTCAACTGGTTGAGGACGGATTAGAAGAAGCGTTCGCTTAATAAGCTTCCGTGTCTAGTAGCAGCGGATCACCAATACTTCGAGACAGGAATCTAGGCATATTAACGACAACAGAAGAAAAATAAATTGGTAAATTATAGAAAACTCCGCCTGTAGCTCTTCTAGAGTTACTGCCGGTCCCAAGCCCGGGTAAAGGAGGAGGGTTGGGCATGGGGTTAGCGACCCCATCCCGTAGAAAAGCTAACTCGCTAAAAAAACGCTAACCAGAAAAAATAATCCAAACCATTTAAACTCTGCCCTGGGAGTTGAAGGAATAATGACGTCTCATGATGAAAGCCGAAATTCTTCGGAAGTCACGAGACCGATGCACCTTCTAACAACCAGAGCAACACTCTTTATAGGTACATGGAACGTCCGGACAATGTGGGAGACAGGAAAGACCAGCCAAATAGCAATGGAAATGAGGAGATACAACTTGGCAGTACTCGGAATCAGCGAAACCCATTGGACACAAACTGGACAACAAAGGCTAGGTACAGGAGAGATGCTGCTGTACTCCGGTCACGAAGGGGAAAATGCGCCACACACTCAGGGAGTTGCTCTAATGCTGTCCAGAGAAGCACGAAATGCACTTGTGGGATGGGAATCTCATGGATCCAGGATAATCAAAGCATCATTCAGAACAAAGAAGCAAGGGATCACAATGAATGTTATCCAATGTTATGCACCCACCAATGATAGCAACGACGATGATAAAGATCAGTTCTATGAAAGGCTGCAATCAATTATAGCAAAGTGCTCACGAAAGGACCTCACCATCCTGATGGGAGATCTAAATGCTAAAGTTGGAGTGGACAACACAGGATATGAAGATGTAACTGGACGACATGGACTAGGAGAGAGAAATGAAAATGGGGAGAGACTTGCAAACCTATGTGCTTTCAACAAATTGGTTATAGGCGGCACAATATTCCCACACAAACGCATACACACAGCTACATGGATCTCACCGGACCACACCACAGAGAACCAGATTGATCACATCTGTATCAACAAAAAATTCCGAAGATCAATGGAAGATGTGAGAACCCGGAGAGGAGCTGACATAGCTTCAGATCACCACCTGGTTGTGGCCAAGATGAGACTGAAGCTAAAGAAAGACTGGACAACTGGACAAACAGCACTACAAAGGTTTAATACAGCCTTCCTTCGAGATACTGACAAGCTCCATGAATTCAAGATAACTCTCAACAACAGGTTCCAAGCTCTACAGGATCTACTGAAAGAACAAGAAACTACTTTGGAGGACAACTGGAAAGGGATAAAAGAAGCACTAACTTCAACGTGTCAGGAGGTTCTTGGTCCTAAGAAGCACCATCACAAGGAATGGATCTCTATGGGGACCCTGGACAAACTTCAAGAAAGAAAGAACAAGAAACTAGCAATTAACAACAGCCGAACACGAGCAGAGAAAGTCAAAGCACAAGCAGACTACGCAGAAGCAAACAGAGAAGTGAAGAAAAGCATTAAAGCCGACAAGGAGAAATATATGGGAGAACTAGCAACGGCGGCGGAAAAAGCTGCAAGAGAAGGGAATATGAAACAACTATATGATACAACGAAGAAATTGGCAGGGAGATATAGCAAACCAGGGAGACCAGTCAAAGACAAAGAAGGAAAGACAATCACTGAGATTCAAGAACAGAGGAAAAGATGGGCAGAATACTTTGAGGAACTGCTGAATAGACCAGCCCCATCGAATCCACCGAACATCGAAGCAGCCCACACAGACCTTCCAATAGATGTCACTCCACCAACGATCGAAGAAGTCAAGATGGCCATCAGACAAATCAAAAGTGGGAAGGCGGCAGGACCTGACAATATACCAGCAGAAGCACTGAAGTCAGACATTGAAATAACTGCAAACATGCTTCACCTTCCATTCAAAAAGATTTGGGAAGAGGAACAAGTGCCAACGGACTGGAAAGAAGGATATCTCATCAAGATACCAAAGAAAGGAGATCTGAGCCAATGTGAGAACTACAGAGGTATCAGTTTGTTATCAGTACCAGGAAAAGTTTTCAACAGAGTGCTGCTGAATCGGATGAAAGACGCAGTAGACGCCGAACTTAGGGATCATCAGGCTGGATTCCGTAAGGATCGGTCGTGCACAGACCAGATTGCGACACTACGGATCATCGTTGAACAATCAGTCGAGTGGAACTCATCACTATACGTCAACTTCATCGACTATGAGAAGGCGTTTGACAGCGTGGATAGGAGAACATTGTGGAAACTTCTTCGACACTATGGAGTTCCTCAGAAGATCGTCAACATTATCCAAAACTCATACGATGGATTACAGTGCAAAGTGGTGCATGGAGGACAGCTGACAGATGCATTTCCAGTAAGGACCGGAGTCAGACAAGGCTGTCTACTCTCCCCATTTCTCTTCCTTCTAGTGATTGACTGGATTATGACGAATTCGACATCTGAAGGGAAATACGGAATACAATGGACTTCTCAGAATCAATTAGATGATTTGGACTTCGCAGATGACCTAGCCCTCCTCTCTCATACACACGACCAAATGCAGATGAAGACAGCAAATGTAGCAGCAGCCTCCGCATCGATAGGCCTCCACATTCATAAAGGAAAAAGCAAGATTCTCAAATGCAACACGGAGAACACCGACCCAATCACACTTGATGGCGAAACTCTGGAAGAGGTGGAAACATTCAAGTACCTGGGGAGCATCGTTGATAAACAAGGAGGATCGGATGCAGATGTAAAGGCAAGGATTGGCAAAGCAAGGGCAGCATTTCTACAATTGCAGAACATATGGAACTCAAAACAACTCTCAACCAATTTCAAGGTCAGAATCTTTAATACGAACGTCAAGACAGTCCTACTGTATGGAGCTGAAACGTGGAGAACTACTACGGCCATCATCAGGAAGGTACAAGTATTTATAAACAGTTGTCTACGCAAAATACTCAACATCCATTGGCCGGATACTATCAGCAACAGCGTTTTATGGGAGAGGACAAACCAGCTTCCAGCTGAAGAGGAAATAAGGAAAAGACGTTGGAAGTGGATCGGACATACATTAAGGAAATCACCAATGTGCATCACGACTCAATCCCTAACTTGGAATCCGGAAGGGAAGCGGAAAAGAGGAAGGCCAAAGAACACACTACGCCGGGAAATAGAAGCCGATATGAAAAGGATGAATAGCAACTGGAAAGAACTGGAAAGGAAGGCTCAGGACAGAGTTGGATGGAGAATGCTGGTGAGCGGCCTATGCTCCTCGACGAGGGGTAACAGGCGTAAGTAAGTATGTAAATTATAGAAAGATGTTATCCTTAGTCCTTAAGAATAGATAAAGTTCCCCCCTGAAGGACTTCTGCAAAGTCGCTTGGACTAGCTCAGTCAGAAGCTAATTCCAGCATTCGACAACTCATAAGGAGTAGAAATTGAGTCTACAGTCCGTTCTGCTATGTTAGGTCTCCAGTTTCTGGGTGTTAACTCTTAGGTTCGAATTGTCACTAAGCTTAAGTAGATGTTTAAGGGGATGATCAGAAGTGTTAAGGATACTATAAGCCATAAGAAGGTCACCTCTAAGGCACCTATACTTTAGCGGGTAGAGGTTAACTGACTGGAGGCGCTCTTCATAGGGTTTGAATTTGAGTCTCCGAACTGATTTCGTGGCTCGCCGTTGGATACGCTCCAGAGTATCCTTATCCTGTTGGGGTAAAGGAAGAAATACTATGTTTCCGTACTCTAAATAGGGACGAATAAAACTGTTCAAGGTTATTTGGAAAATTATTTCGTCAAAATGGCCATAAATGCGTTTCAATGTTACCAGTTCAGGGTTTGCTCGAAAGGAGTTTTTCGTCACAGTTCACGTAAGACTTCAAGTCGTAGGGTACCAACACTGCTGAATGTTTTTTGACTTGAGATACTTCTAGAGAGGAGTTTCTTAAGTTGTAACTGCATTCTGAAACATGTCTCCGATAGACTACTTACACTTTGAAGTGTTGAAGGTAAGTCCGTTGTCGTCTGCCCAACTTTGAAATCGAGTCAGATTCTCCTGAAGTGCCAGTGTATCCTCTTTGTTGCATATCTCTCTCCAAAGTTTTACATCGTAATGAAAAAGCAATAAGTCGAACGATACTTGTTGTGTAAGATCGTTTATATAAATCAAGAAAAGAGGAGGTCCTAGTAATAAGCTCTGGGGGACCCCACTAGGACATTCCATAGCCTGAAAGTGAAGTAAACCGTGACCTTAAAATGTCGAGTTTTTAAATATAAAGTGAGCCAGTCAATTAGAGGTTGATTGATACCCAATCGTTTGAGCTTATTGATAAAACATAGATTGTTGACCCTATCAAAGGCTTTTGAGAAACCAAAGTAAATGATGTCAACCTTCCCCCTGCAATCAAGCATGGTTGTCCATCTGTCCACCGCAGTCAGCAGGTTGGTTATACAAGAGTGATTCTCCTTGAAACCATGCTGTCGGGGTGAGAAGAACGTTAAGGATAATAAGGAATCGTGTATACCATCGCATATCAGGGATTCCATAATTTTAGGAGGTATAGAGAGAAGGACTATCAGTCAGTAGCTTGAGGGTTTGCTGTGTGGGCCTCCGGTGGTCTGCCTAGACTTAGTGAGTGTGAGAACATCAAGCTAAGCGGTGTTGCTAGGATTGAAGCTGCTTCCCTCAGGACAGCAGTGTGAGCCATATCCGGACCAGAAGTGTTTTTTCTTAGGTGTTGCAGTTTACGGAACACCGGTCAGCACTCAGGTTTACTTCGAAAAGTCCTGTGCAGTTGCAGATGAAGGTATCATCAATGTAGTTGGTATGGGCCGGTTTAAAGTTCTGGGAGTATTGTTCAGCCTAAAGGTTAGCAACACCGATTTCGTTACTGGTCGGACCATTAGGACCTAACAGTTGAGAAACTCTAACTCTGGCTTGCCTAAGAGAAGCTGCATAACGGAATAAGATTTTTGGGTTGGAGACAAATTTATCGATAAGCTTTGACTGGAACTAGAGCCTGTTTTCTGTTATTGCCTTTGTGCAGATGTTCCTCATATGTTTGTAATGCATGTACGCGCCGTTGTTATCAGTTCGTTTGTAATCTGCTCAACAGTGTCTTTTGCGGTTTAGCAAACGAAGACTGTGGTTCTTGATGATTGTAGTTTAGTTGTAGCTTTCGAGGACTGTTTGAGGAACTGAATGCTTAGTGGCACATTAGAGTGTGTGCAGTAGGAAATCTCAATGAGCATCCACATCAAGTTGAGGGTGAAGATCCCAATCCACTTGTTGCAGATTGTCTTGTAAAGCTGTAGCATTCAACCGTTTGAAATCTTAGCGCCTATTGTTGGTGAGATATCTTAGCTCAGTTTCGCTGACAAAACTGAAGGATATAATGGCATGATCGCTTTTCCCCTAGGAAGCCAGAATTGAGAGGTTGTGGACTAGGAATTCTTCGTTTGTAAATACCCAGTCTAAATGTGACGACGTCTGACTGTTTCTCCAATGAGTTGCCGACTTCAGATTTTCGAATAATCCTAGATCCTCAATGAGGTTGAATAACCGAGCTTCAGCAGAGTTTTCATCTCCAATATATGTGTGTTCCGCGAAGTTGACTGTAAGAAGATTGAATTCCTCTAGAATCAGGATATGAGTGAATCCGAAATGCGTAGAGCGGGTTAATCCTTCCAGCAGTGGGCTTCCTGTATATGACCCAACCAGGCCCATCGAGGTGGTAGACAGTGTTACTGAGCTCCATACGGGTTCATCTAGGTTGAGAAACTCTTGTTTGTGCATTTGGTGTACCTCCAGGCATGATCGTACGTTTAAGGCTACTCCACTCCTCCATTCCTGTTTTTCTGTCGCTGTCAAAGGAAGACATCCCAGTCATTGCTTGCTCCTGGTTCTTAAACTGAGGATATATCTAAGTTTCAAGTATTCTCATCAGATGAGCATTATTAGCATTGCTAAGTTCACGTAGCTCATCCATTTTATTTGGTAAACTCGCGGCGTTCATGTATAAGCAGCTTATGCTTTCGATTTGAAACGAGTGAGCTCCTTCCTGTTTGTCTGGGTGAACCTAATGTGAATGGGCAGGTAGCCTACCTATACAAGGTTTTCCGAGTTGGTAGTCCCTGTTCTTTACTTGTTTTTATAAGATCAAGAAAGTCCACAAGTGGGATTGTCAGCTCCAACTTGCCTTTGTGTTTGGTCCTGGTGTCATGTGGCCTATCCGAATGCATATGAATTCCAGTTCGCAACCGAGGTCTGTTGGAACAAAATGCTTCCAGATTTGCTACGAAATCGGGGAACTATTAGACACTTGAGATCTGTGTATGCTCAGTAAAATATCGTTCTTCGCGACGGATTAATGTAGTTCTTATTATTACCCTCATGAATCTGAATGGAGAAAGCATAAGTTAACAATGTGTGGAACGATCTATAAGTTCAAATGGTTCTGAATGAAACAAAAGAAGCTTTCTTTTAAAAAGCTTCCGTATATAGTAGCAGTGGGTTACCTATGCCTACAGATATTTTTAACAGAAAAAGGAGAAATATCAGTAAATTTTAATGAAATACTGTCTTGAGTCCCTAAGTTTATGTCGAGTTTTCACTCGAAATGCTCCTGAGGATTCGCTTCAACAACCATATCTGGCAGTAAATTCCAGGATTCGACTACTCGTAAACAGTCAAAGGCGTCCCATCACTATACTCTGCTATACAGTGTCTCTAATTTCTGGTTGACACTCCGAAGGTTTGTGTTTGAACTGAGCTTTAGTTTCAATTTAGGGGGCGCCGAGCAGTATTCAGGATGCTGTAAGTCATTAAAAGGTCAGTCCTGAGATGCCCATAATCTGATGGGTAAATATTCAGCGATTTTAAAGGCCCTCAGTAGGTTCGAATTTGATTCTCCTAACAGATTTCATGACTCACTTTCGGATATATTCCAATGTGTTCTTAACTTTTTGGAGTGACGGAGGAAACGCCACATTTCCATGCTCTAAGTGAGGTTTAATGAAACTATCAACGATTAAGTGGAATGTTGTATCATAGAACCGGTCGAAAATGGGCTTCAGCATCACCAGTGCAAGGTTTTCTGGAAAAGAATTTTTGTCGCAGATAGCGTAGGACGCACGACTCGTAGATATTTTTCAACATAGGATACCTCTAGAGGTGAGTTACCTGAGCTATTCGCGTAATCAGTTACATGTCTCAGATGAACTACTTGACAATTTGATGTGTTGAAAGTAAATTCGTCATCTGTCTAATTTTGAAGTTGAGTCGTATCTTTCTGAACTGATCTCGATTGCAGGATAGGTTCAAATGGTTACGAGCGAAATAGCTGTTGCTTAAAGGCCTTCCGTATTTAGTAGCAGCCGACCGATGATCATTAAAGGTAGAAAAAAGGGCATAGTTCACCGATAAAAAAGAAATATTGATAAGCTGTAATGAAATTCCGTCCTTAGACTATAACAATAAACCATTATCCCTCTTAAACGACTGCTGGGGAGATGCTTGAGAATACTTTTGTCAACAGCGAATTCTGAAGCTTCACCACGACCCTTAAGTATCAATAGGCTGTTGGTGAATAAAAATATAATGTAAACTTATTGTCTATATAACTGTGTTGTACTCCTAAGTAGGTATTGAACATTCGTTTTGTGTTGGAGCTGAACTTAAGCAGATACTGAGGCATGGTCGAAAAGTTATGTCATTGATTCTCGCTCACATGTTGTCGCGGATTTGTAATGTCGGTATAGATCGTAAAAGGTTGCGAGTTATCTGTATGATAATGATTAAATGTTCAGTGATTGGTGCTTATCGCGAAGCCTGAATTCGAATCTTTGATTTAACTTCATGACTCCAAAATAAATTGGAAGTATTCTTGAACTTTTGGATTGAAGGAAGAAGCACCATAATTCCGTATCCTAAGTGAACTCGAAACGAATTATTGAAGATTATGTTGAAGGTATCACTGCCAAACTAGCCGAGAATACTCTCTAAAGGTACTAGTGTAAGGTTTACTCAGTAAGCATTTTGTGAAAAGATAAGAATTTGGATCATGGGGAATCAGAACTAAATCTTTTTCAAACTCGGACATTTCTGAAGTGGATTCACATGAAATGTACGTCTAGTTCTCAACATACCTCAGACTGACTACTTAACACATCGAACTTCTGGAAATAACTTCTTTGTCATCCATCGAACTATGAAGTCGAACCACATCCCTCTTGAAGTTCTAACTTATCATGTTGGCAGTACCAACCTACACATAGACTGATCTCTCTCAGTACTAATCTTAATTAAACGTCTGACTTTCCTTGATAGATTCAGTAAAATGTTCTATTGTTATCACTTCCGTTAACCAATTCCATAGCTTTCAGATTATAACCACGAAAACATTTGACCAAGCTTATTGTGAGCTCTTTCATGTTCTTGTTTAAATAGATATCCGCTTTGTTGCATTTTGACGACGAAATGTATTGATAATCTTCTACAGTGAGAATTATGGGTAAATAAATATGTTGTGTTTAAATTCTTCCCAAATCCTTTTACAGGCTACTGGTGGAGGTTATAACAACCGTCAGCGGGCAGATATATTTCCAGTTTGGAGTAAATAGATCGGATGCTCAAATCCGATAGCTTAACAACCTTATTACAGAGGATTTGTACCACTAAGGAATACTGTTTATTCCACACAGTAAGATTTTTTCCTTTATAAAGTTCCGAAAAATTTCATAATAGATTCTTAGAAAACTCACCGAGCAGTGCCAATAAATTGTTACATATTATTCGACTTTCAGCATACATTGTTTGCAAAGAGCCTAATCAAATGTAAAATTGATTATACTGTCAGAAAGATTTCATTTGTTCTAGGCTGTACACTAGCTTATAACATCGTTGTGACTGGAATTTAGCTGAAATAAAAACCTAATGGGTCAAGCTTGTAATCCACTAACTGAGATTATTTTGATTAGCACCGATACAACCAAAAATATTCGACAACTCGCGCACACCAACGAAGTCACTTTGACACTTCTTGGATAATTTTACAAGGTCTGCAGTAACAACTTTGTGGTCAGTGCTACGGTAGATTTGTCAATCCGTATGTCGGCTAGCACCTGGGTTGTGGAAATACTATCGACTACCTAGTCCAGGTATTTATGAGGCTAATAATTCCGAAACTTCAATCACCTGATTATTAAACATGAGAAGGCTTGTATACATACTCCTCGTTTTGTAGTAAGGGAAGAAACACTTTTCTTCACAATGAAGCCGGACAAAAGTAAAAAAACGTTAGCTAGGATTTACTACCATCAAACTGGTCAAAGTACAACTCAGAGATACTAGTCGAAGGTTGGCTCAAAAGTCGTACCTATAACCAGTAGCATATGTATTAAGTCATAAGGGGCGAAGGTACGTAAATCCTTAAATTGCAGCAATCACAATTGGCAGTTTTCAAGGTTGTGTGTGTAATTTTTATGATACTTCAGATGTACTAATTACACTTTTAAAAAATGATACTTAATCCGCCACCGTTTGTCCAACTTTAAATTGAAATCAGATCCCACTTAGGCGCTAAACGGTTGCTGACTTTTCTCCCAAGCTTATTATTATTAATGGCTTTATTCAATATTATAATCTGGTACAATATAGAATTCTCAGCACGAGCTTGACATCTTCAAAGGAATATTTTAGAAAGTACCATGACGATGGTCATAGATATAAATTGAAAGAAACAGATATACTTGTACTGAACGTCCGAGGATAAAACAATGTTATTCTCTGTTAAAACTAAGAGGACAATCAACCCTAACCTTGAACAGTCAGTTTTTTAAATGACTTTAGTTAATCAACGAACGGAAACTAAGTATTTACTGTCTTGAGATTTATGGTAAGGCAAACAAGGCACACTATATCAAAAAACGCACATTATAGCTTACTCATATAAAAGGGCTGATATTTGCTGTGAAATTCAAACCTGTGTGAGGACGTAAGTTTTCACAGAATACCGTAAGACTGGTTAACAAGAAAGGGTGAACAAAATCGGAAATCGAGGAAAAGTGAACTATGGGACACCTCTGAATTTATAAGACGGAAAAATTTTTCAATCTGTCTTAACAATAAACTACTCTACTCATCTTAGACATGCCAGCATCCTTTTTCGATTGAGACTAAACAGAAAGAACCAGTGGTACATAGGAATTCAAGGACAATATGGACCTTGTCGGTGAAACAGAACGCACATGCTTTACTTTCAATGCCGATTATTTCAGTGAGACATGAAGAGATCAATGTACACTGTAAAGGAAGAATTATTTATTCAAAGAAACTGGTAGTACAAGGATAAATAAAGAATACAAGTAAAATTCAACATGGAAAGTTCACCAAATTGAAAAAAGAACGAAAATGATATGTCTTCGTTTTGTAAGTAAAAAAATCTACATTTATTAAAACAAAGTAATATTTAAAAACCACGAAAATTAGCTACAGCATTCACAATTTTCGGTGGACGATCGGCACATAATTTAGGAAATTGATCTGCGTCACAATTGATTAAATCACGTAATGTCTGCAGATTACTTGGAACACTGACGCCTAAATCATGGAGCATACTAAACAGATAACCTGAAACAAGAATAAACCATAAAAAGGAGATAGAACGCATATTAATGAGTTCCAACTGAAGCTATATTATAAATTTTTAAAGTAGACAACGGATAAATTCGACTGGGAATCTGTAAAACAGTTTACATTATGAACTGATTTTATTTGGAGAATGACTGAAGTCAGTTTTTAATGCTGTACTAACTTCTGAATTCACACAGCAATGCGTACCCATAACATACACATCGGATTATTTATAAATCCCGCGGAGGAATCCCCTAGGTTAGAAATCACTGATGTATACATAATTCAATTTCAGTGAACTTGCAATCCAATGTATTTATTTGAACACATAAATATTGGTACAAGAGGGCACCATATATAAATGCGCCACACAAAACATTGTCATTTCATTGTAATTGGGTGAGCGCTATGATACTGCCCAGGTGCCCAAACCGAAGCGGGGGCAACACCTCGAGCCTTTGACCTAAAAGTCTGATCCACAAGGCAGTGGAGCACCATAGAGAGATGCAGTCCCACGGAAGCCGGTGACCAACAACAGGTTCATACACCATTTGTTCCATCAGGATCCTGGAGCCCATGTGCATGATCAGTTCGGAACCGGGGTTTCCCAACTTCCCTAGGTGGACTCAGCATGTCCAGCGCCCGGACATTCCCTTTTCGTCCTCTCAATTTCGTAAACAACACCCCCGCCAGGAAAAGGCAGTGAGTAGGACTTCCCTATCAGAGGCTGTATGCACGTGGCCGTGCGAGAGCATTTCGAGAGGGAGGGCAGCCCCTGCCCACTCTAGGCCGTACCAGGGCATCTGGGGGAGGAATCCGATTCGGTCGACTGACAACATTTTAATCTTTGTGTATGCTATTTAACAACCTATCCATTCATTCCATCTTCCAGTTTGGAGGAAGATGAAAACTGAATGTAAATGAGCCATTATGATTGATTCAGGGCTATGTCATCCAAAGTCTCTAGTCATTAATAACGGTTATCGTGCGGACCCTAACTAGGTTTTCTGCATCTATTAACAGCTCAGACCAACAATCATTGGCTTTATGAATTGATGTCGTGTCTTGGTTTGATCGCGCTTAGCTTCCTTCCGACCTAATCTTATACTAGTTAACATAACCCATCGACGTAATAGCTGGTTAGCTAAATGTAATACACACCTCAGACACCTCGAACGATGAAGATTAGAAAGCTCGTCGACTGATTTACCATTTTCAGCTAGTACCCTAAGTCTAAATATGATCGTTTGACCAATAAAAACTACATATTTGAGCTTACCAAGATCAACATCCAGTTGTTTTAAACCATGTTTAGTAAGTAATAACTGATCTTCAACACTATCGTCATCATCATCATCATCGTCATCAACTTTATTGACGTCACGAGCTAAGGTGTTTCCTTTCAAAGAATCACTTTTAGATTTCAATGCTTTGGATGTTTTTGACATTGACTCTGTCGCTGAAGTCACTGACGAGTTAACTACAGATTTATTCATTCCAATTTGTAAGATTGCATTCACAATCAAATCACATACATTCACAGATATTAAATTTTCTAACCAACAATAAACTGAAGAAATTTCCGTTGAGCTCATATTATCATCAGTCATTATCATTTGTTTGAGTTGATTAAAATTGCTGCTCAGCTGACGTTTTCTAGTAGATGATGTTGACATGTTTGTTGTTTTCGCTTGCGTTGAACTAGTCTGTTCTTTACCTTCTTCTTCTGGTTGATGTTGCTGTTGTTTAGAATGGTCATTAATTTTATGCGAAATCATCGAGTAAATAACATCGGAATCACCTAACTGAAAACAGTGAGTTAAACCATCACCAGGAGATGTCAATGATGGAATAATTATTTGATCATTCAATTGAGCATCAATATTCAACTCGTTTATTGATGATAAATACGGTTCTAATTGTGCTGGTAGCATGAATAAATATTGACCAATCTGTATGTTTATGTGTGTGAGAAAAAATGGAAAAGATAGATAAAGAAAAATTGTATTATATATCAACAAATCTATGCAGTTAATTGTAGAATAAATTGATTGTGAGTATTAATATGATCGAGGACGAATGTTTGATGCTATATGCGATCTGTCTGCCGAATGTGTCAGCAACTCACTGATGATGCTTACCTTGAGGCTAAAAACCAGTAACATACACTGCATATATATATGCTTTGGGTAACTCATATAGAGGAAATAATAAGCGCATAGATTTCATAAATATTATGCAATTTTGTTACCTCCATATCTACAATGAGGTTTCGAAGGAAGCCACCTGGAAACTACGCAGGCTAGCGAAAGCAAAATATGATTTGTTCAAGTTAACAATTCTTGATAATAGATTGATCGTAGCTGCTACCCAGATGATAGGATGGATAAACTAGCCTATTTTGACGAAAAAATTGAGCAACATTTGTATTTTTTATGGCACTAATATATCAGATAGGTTGGTTAGAGAGCGTTAAGACTAAAAGTTGAGTGTTCAAGCAGCAGAAGAAATGGTTAGAAAATGTTAGCCCTGATAATAAGACAACAAACTTTGACCTAGAAATTTGTGGTGTCAAGTGGTGAAGGGTGAAAAATAGGATTTAAAACTACTCATAGTAAAAAAAAGCGTGACAGATCGCTCTGTAAGCATATTTTCACTTTGATAAGACAGTCGCTACAAACCTAGATATTTTTACAGACACCACAAGAACATTAAATCTAGAAAGCACAATAATTTGAAGATCTTGTCCAAAGAATTAGTCAGCCGCGTATACCGATTCACTAGAAAAACCATCATCACTACATCTTTAAACCAAGACATGAAACTGTAGCATAGTGAATTTGATGAGTTACCGGAGAACGACCCAGAAAGTCAAGTTTTTCGTCGATCAATTTAGCACGAACAAACTTTTTTTTCTTGCAGAATGCATTTCAAGACAGGCCTTATAGTCAGTTAAAATATATTACTCAGTAGTTCTGAACTACACAAATTACTTAGTAATTCCAGACAATATTAGCAACACGAATAAAATACTTCAGTGGGATAACAATCCAAAAACAGTTGATCAGCACCAACTACAATGATGAAGGTATGAAGAGTTCCGCCTCAAATTAAATCTTAAGAAGAATTCTTGAGATAGGGGGAGGTATTCAACTGTCAATACCAAAAATAGGTTTTCTGTCAAATAAACATTTCTGCTCAAGATTAACTGTCCTTCACAAGCAAGGCAACCTAAGAACAAATCTTCTGGTGTTAGATATTGCAGCGAAAATAGAGCACTTAACGGATGGACGATACCATATGGACTCTCTCTTCCAAAATTACATGACTTCACTCATAATCTGTCTGATATAACGATTTATTAGAAGGTTAGTTTCGTCAGCATATCTAGTCTATGATCGCCGTAATATCTAACACTAGAGGCTTTCTTCTTAGGTATTATATGGAGCGGCGATCCCCATGGACTATCGGAGGGGTGTATGATGCTTAGCTCTAACACATTGTCGAACTCATGCTTCGCGAGAGCAAGACGAGAAGGCCAAGGCGTCTTGGACGTGTAAACATTGGTGGTCCCTCAGTCTTTATATGTCAGTTAATAGCGTTGGAAAGTCGGTTGTGATAAATCAGGGAACTGAATGAGCTAGTCAGTATATTTATCAGTTTCACAATGAAATTTGATAAGAAAGTGTATGGACGTTGCGTTAGACATAAGTCCTTTCATTTCACCGTTATGATTGGTAAATACAAATTTCCGGTTTGTAACGTCAGCGAGGATTTTGTGGTATTGCAAAGCATTAACACCAATTGATGGAACCAGGACATCGACCACGATGAAGCTTCATGAAGAGTTGGATTTGGGACTAAAATGTAATCATAACTGCCTTTTGTCATATATCATGATCTCTGATCTGTTTACAGCTTGCAGTTTTAGTTTAGGATCAGGTGTGCTTTACTCAAATGCAGTAGGTGGTACTAAACTAACCTCTGCCTCAGTGAGAACTGTGTTCTAGTTCTTTTAACTACAACATATACCAAACGACTGTCTTGGGAGTTGTTCCCAGCGTCCGCAATCGTCACTAATTGTCGGCAATCTGATTGATGAAGGTGTTGACGGCTTCGTCAGTTGAATTTGAATGAACATTTGATATAGAGTGTGTTTTAGTCCATCATCGGCTATGTCTGCTAGTCTACTGAAATCGACGTCTTCATCTCCAATCGCTAATATTTGTTGGATGTTTTGGGGAAGATGTCTTAGTAACATACGATATAAATGGCGTTTATCCACAAGACGATTGTCTAATATATTTGTCATGTGGCGTTGCAACTGTAACGATGTGCTATCATCTAAAGGCATGTTAGATAAAAGTTGGCTGATTGTCTGATGAGCGGTCAGAAATGTGACGTAAACGACCACTCTTTTCAAACTATCGTATGGTACGTCTGGATCTGGTTTGAAAATTGAGTTACCTACTTGTTCAACAACGTCGTCTTGAAACGGTAGGTTTGTATAGTTAAATTTTGTCACCTGGTTTGTGATTCTGTGCGAAACATAAAGACTTTCCAGTCGTGTAAACCGAAGTTCAGCGTTTCTGGGGTTAAGGACTGGTAAACGTACTGAAATGGCACTCACAGAAAGACTTAGATAAGAGCGTTACAGAATTATCAAGTGACATGATACGGGAGAATTCACTTAATAATAGCAACAATAATAAAGTAAAGATTGAATTATACAAAATAAGGTAATAACAAATAACAGAAAGAAATATATATGTATAATGGAAGACTCATCGAAAAACTGAAAGTTTGGGTTTACATATGTGAATATAATGCAAAAATTTCAAACAAATAATGTAATAACTGAGTTTACTACGTTGGGTATTTCATCCTAGTAAAGGACTCTTTAGTAGTGCCTACACACTACCCTGCAAACGAGAACCGAATCAAGGAACTTTCAGTTTCGCGCATGAACACATAATTTCTAGACTACTGAGCCGGCAACCAACGATGTTAATGTCAAATTTCGACCGATCTACGATCTTGCGTCAACCATTCCTCGATTGTCTTTTATGGGTAGCTGACATACACCCGACACCGTTGAGATCCAGTGATCACAGACTCAGACTACTAAAAAGTCCCATACTAGAACGAAACGGGCATCCAGTGCTTCCAAGTTTACGATGGTGGTCTTAAATTGTTCATTTCATAATATCAATCAAACTCAACAATTACCACAAATCTATGCTGAAAACCAGTTATTTATGAAAATAGTTTTTAAATTATAATTATGAATCATCACAATAATACTGCTATGGTGTATACTACTTATGTCGACAGACATGAGTAGTACGTAACACCAATCAGGAGAGGAATGCATGGTAGCAGAAGGCTATGAGGGTCAACTTGAAGAAAACAGACACGAAAATAGGAAAGAATGTGACTTTGAAGAATCACACAGAATATGAAGGACAAATTATGGAAATTTGCAAATGAAGTATTCAGTGTATGGTTCTCATATTTTACCATGAGATTATGCAATTTCTCATTAAACTAATACCACAGTAATGAACGAGAACTCAGGTAGGAATGACTAATCGTACTTTAATACAAAATTACGGTCATTCGGTAAAATGTGAAAACCATACGTTCAATGCTTTTTTTTGCAAATCCACCATCAATTGTCTCAAATATCAGCGTTTCTTCATTATCATAATAATTACTCTTTGTTCCTGTTCACTTCGATTTGATCTTCCTAACCTTCTGCTGCCAGGCACCCCACTTTTGACTGGTGCTATACACTACTTATGTCGACATAAGTAGCATATACCACACTAATACTACTACAACTAATAATAATAGTTAGATAAATAGTTGAAATTTACTTTTGTAATATAATCTTGTGGTAAATAAGCCAAATCCGGTAAACATTCTTCACCATTATTTGGATGAATAAACCAAATATTTAAATCTGGTACAGATTTTAAATAATAACGTATTGGTTTCAATGCAATTTCACGTACTACACCAATTGTGGAACGACAAAGCATTGAACTAGATCTATGCATTCCATTTAAATTAGAATGTGATTTAATTATGATTGATTTTGATTTATTTAATAAATCAACTGATGAATTAATAGAAGTTGATAGATTAGATGGATGAGCAAGGGAATGAATTGCTTGTTGACAGTCGGTAGATTGTTTTAAAGTTAACTGATATAAAACACAACTAGATATAGTTGGCATATAGAGATTGTCATCTTCATTCATATTTATTTGATTATCATTAGTGATGAAGTTGATGTTTGTTCTGTCTTTAGTTAATACACTGGAAAGAAATGTGAAAAGCGAAAAAAAAACATTTTAATGCCGGCAAACCGGTCTCGTCACTTTATTGCTCATGGTCTAATTTCAATATGATAGAATTATTTATTGATGCAAGCGAAATATAAATCTTACTTACAGAATATACACTGTGTTAACAAATCCCGTTAATAACAAATTGGATATTTTAAAAAAGTAAAATACGAGTGTTTCAGATGACTACACTTCATGCGTTTCTTTCAACAGACAGATGAAGAGATGTGTAGCGAAGGCAGGCGTGCCTACCCTAAATAGGACGAGACAGATACTGAATAAAATAATAAGTGTACAGGTACAAAAACACATTAGATGTATAAATGTATAACTGCAAGGACAAGAATATAGGAGGTATATATGTAATGTATGCCACTTATGTTGACAGATATAGGTAGTATGCAGCACCAATCGGAAGTAGAATACCTGCAAGCAGAAGATTGGAATGGAAAGAAAAAAGATAAAAACTGGAAGAAATCAAAATAATAACAGGAATGAAGGGACGACGGAGTTTGTAAGAGACAACTGGTGGACGATGTTCAAGTAGTGCATTTATTTATTATTTATTTAAACACAAAACTTGGTACAAGAAGGCAACAAATACACGTGCGCCACACAAATCAGTCGATTTGTGTGAGGGCTATGCTACTGCCCGGATGCCAAGACCGAAACAGGTGGTTTTCTTATGGGGCCATACCCCGGGCTTCGACTTAAAGGTCTGACCCATACGGCAGTGGAGCATCGTGGGGAGATGCAGTCCTATGGAAGCCGGTGACCAACAATTGGTTCCCTCAGGATACTGGAGCCCATGTGCACCATTGGTTTAGAATCAGGGTTTCCCAACTCCCCTGGGTGGACTAACTATGTCCACCGGCCAGGACATTCGCTTTTCGTCCCCTCAATTTCGTAAACAACGCTCACGTCGTGGGAAGGCAGTGAGTAGAACTTCCCTATCAGTGGTGGTATGCACGTGGCCATATGAGAGCAATTTCGAGAGGGAGAGCTGACTCTCCCCACTCTCGGCCGTACCAGGGCATTTGAGGGCTAGCAATGTATTCAGTGTATGGTTTTCATATTTTATGAAGGCATTCTGTAACTTTTGCATTAAACAATGAATTGGTTAATCCTACCAAGTCTCGTTCACCGCATATATACTTAAGGTCACAATCTCCTATGAACAGAACACAGTTATTAGGACGGTGAAAATGACTCAATAGTCATATGCTGAGTTATAAAAGTCAGTAAATCATGTGGATGTATTTATTTATACAGAAGGTGGTACAACGTAACGTTGAAACAAAATGGCACTTTTTAAGTGACACTAAGTGTATGTTTACAAGCTTGGGGCTCGAAGTTAAACTATTTGTTTAAAGGCTCATGATACTAGGCCGGTTGTTCAAACTAAAGTCGTTCAGTTATAATCTAAAAAGGATCAGGTATAAATGTATTTTGGTTTGAGTTGATACGAGACATCACAACATATCGAGAAAGAAAAATCTACAAGGTCAAGAGCAAAGTAGTCGAATAAAAAGATGGTAGGATCAATTATATTTAGGGAGAAAGTTCAAACATTAGTTCATAAAACAGAAGGAATGAATTCGTGGAATAAAAAAATCCGTGAATAATATAACTCAAAATTATAATGAAGACGATAAACAATGAACACAGCTATACACCATTTAAGGCCTTTAACAACTGTTCATATATATCCTGCAGACTTCAATCACTTAATAATCTACACCGACCGAAACAGTTCAAACAAACAGTCAATGACCCTATAAGTTAATCACATATCTCATAATCTATTTACTCATATATATCAAAATATACTTCTATTTTAGTCGAACATTAGGTATGTACACAATCTATTAACCAATCAGAAAAATCATGGATAAATATAGGATAAATAACCAAATCAATGGTAGATACAATCACAATAAAGAATTAAACAGTGACACGTTAAAGGTCAACAATAATCAATCAAGATCGAGATCTACAAGAGAAGCTGTGAGTCATATGTGGAGAAATTCGAACACTTCACTTCTACCTGAATTTTGTGCCGATGATACCGTTCAGAAGAACAATGAAGGCTCCACGACTAAACCATCAAGCTCAGAGAACAAAACACCACGAAAAATTATCCACCTGAGCTACAAATCTACTCCACCATCGCTTAAACGAAGTCGAGATTAGTAACAATGGGATAATTTGAATTATCTGTAATAATGATATAAACATTTTTGTAAAGTTCATCAACTTACTTATCAGCCGAATTAAGGACAAACGATAACCAATTAGAACATTTAGACATGACATATTCCACGAAAACGTCAGATTGTGAAGTTAATTTTCCTATTCAAAGAAAGAAATAAGAAAAAAAGATTGTTGTAGAAATTTCTCAGTGTTTCATGTCTTCATAATACAAGAAAACACAACACTTGATTAAAGAATTACGGGTGAGAAATTTGTTAACAACATGTAAGTGAATAAAGATTGGATTGTAACATCCGTTTTTTTCTATGTTTATGCGTTCATGTGTGTGAAAATGTATTAATGTGTATTATTTAAATGATAATAGCCTTTTGTTTCCTCTTTTAGATATAAGGCTGACATTATTGACACTTTCGTGTTGTGTCGCACATTTTGTTTGTTTCCGCGTGACTATCGTAACCAATGGGTGGAGACTGTGGGTGACATGGATCAGAATCGATTACAATGGCGCAGGTGCATACACTCTTCCCTTAAACCATGAGATTAAAATTACTTTACATTTTCCTTTCTACCAACTAATCCTTTCTTCCTGTAATATATCCTTATATATAATCTTTTTCTATATATTATTACCAGTAAAGTAACTACTGCTATGAATTCGGTGTTTACAGAGTATTTGTCCATTTGTAGTGAGATATTGATTAATGGCTGCTAACAGAAAGAAAATGTCATTGATAACTGAGCACAGACTGACAGATACAGATCGTTAACTACTTATACAACACTTGATTTCATTTCAATCAATGATTTCTACTCTGAACTGACTGAGTGATACAACTTGTAATTGTGTTGAATAAAGTGCTATCTAACGTCATAAACTCTAGTCCTCTATATTTAGTCATGAATTAATTGTGTATCCAGTATGACATGATCCAGTCTATGTACAGCGTATAGATAAAGTGTCCAATTTAATGGTATCTGTTTAATGACAGGTCATCGGTTGATTAAATTATCGTATTGTAGTAGTATATTGTGAAAACAGTTAATTCTATTCCTCATTTTCTATAAAAATCAATTTAACCGAACAAAATACAAAATATTATTTTCATAGTTGAAAGCGTGAGTCAATTGAAGCTAGACCACCATCGAAAACCTGGAAGCACTGGACTGCCGTTTCGTCCTATGGTGGGACTCCTCAGCAGTGCGCATCCACGACCTCGCCTCGCGAGATTCGAACCCAGGACCTAGCAGTCTCGTGCCAGAGCACTTAACCGATAGACCACTGAGCCGGCATCCAATGGTGTTTATGTCTAACTCCAAACAATCCAAGATAATATTTTTTACCTGTTAAATGAGCAAATTTTAATATCCACATAAAACCATAGGCTTGATGATAATTTAATTCCATATCAGTTTTTATTAATTGTTTTTCAATCCATGTATTCCATATTATCCAATTAGCAATTAATGAATCCCAATAACTCTGAACAAAAAAACGAAAACAAGAAACAATAATGAATCGATTAGTCTTTTGAGTTCATTGTTCTTTTCTAGCACCGACCAATATATATAGACGACTTTAAGTAAAGAATAGGCAACAAGGACAAAGAAGACTGATAATGAATGATTTAATACTAACTAGCCCCAAAAGAAGAGGAAGAGAACACAAGAACAAGCAGACCAGATAGCATCCACATCACACAAAAAAAAGAAAACAACAGTCATACAAGATCAAGCCAAATGCTGTGATTAAGGGAAAATGTGAATAAAGTAAGAATAGTAAATCGTATGATAGTGGTTAATGGGTCAATCGAAAACTTATGATAAAAGGAATATCAATATAATAATAGTCCATAAAGCAGTTTTGAAAGTTACCGTCTCTTTATTCTTCGTTGAGACATAACATTAGTATGTGCTCTGACTTCATTTATTTAGTCATTTGCAAATGTGAAAGTTTCTGACTATGAGGAGAAGTGATGTAATGATGTTAAGTTGGTTGGTGGTAAGTAGTTAACAAGAAAGCCTAGATCGTTTTTTATCAGCTGGTATTGACACGAGGTATATGTGTAATTTTGAGAACACCGGTGCTCCCTGACGGATAGTTAGTCACACAGTCTGATATGCTACCATTGGTTTATACGGCTCGTGACTAATCGTCCTGAAGGACTGAGGTACTTTCATTGATATATCACTGAGTACTCATTAATGCAAAATGAAAACAATCAATCACAAAACAAAAAAATATTATGCGGAAATATGAATTAGGGAAATGAATGCTATCAATCCCTGATTTTAGATAACTAGCACAGTTTCCTCGTCAACATACCTTCAAAATTCGACCCTTGCTCAGCATGTAACTGCCATATTGGTAATCTTATAGTCGAACAATTCTTTTGTAAATGCACTAACATCAATTCTTTCTACAAGCACTAACACACTATTTTGTAAAGTAGTCTATCATAGCTAACATGTTGGCACTCGAAGCAAAAGGCATTGCGCCCGAGGCCCAATTTGAGCATTAACTCTGGGATGTAGGTGTATTCAGCCGATGAGCCTAAGATAGGACGAGATGGTTAACCTGTATTCCACTACTAGCTATAATCTATCTATTCCATAAGTTATTGCCTGATGAACAAGACGTTTTTGCGTGTTAACTTCCCTGGTAAAGAACTCTGTTGAACAATGTGGATTTGAACAGCAGAAGACAATGGTTGATAAGTTTCTCCTGGAGACAATAAACACTTAGGATGGATATACATGTATACATCTGTATTCCACAATTCTCTGTCGAATGACGTCATACGGAAACTACTACTTCTTGGTAAGAATGATTATGTATTGAGGTTTTCGGTTAGCCTACAATAATTCCAAATTCAGAAACTATCGAGACATTCTAATACGAACATTCCTAGCAGAGTTGACACACAATTATCACCTAACACTGAAAGAAGATGAAGTGTAAAAAAAACTTGATATTCAAAAAGAACATAAAAGAGAACAACTCAGTAAGTAAAGTAACGAAAGTATGATCCTGGATCGCACAGAAAACTGGAGGACTAAAAGTAATGACAACCAATCATAATAAAGGCCAAAGGTTACGCGAACAATCGATTAAAGAAAAAAACACTCACAGTTATTGGTATTACAAAAACTTTAACATAGTAACAACAAAATGGAGTAGTCTTGCAGGTTGCCTTAGCAGATATGAACTAACTTTTTTTTAACGAAAACTGATTGTAGTGAAAAAAAGACAATCACAACACGGTAACATCCGGAAATCACTCACTTGAACTATATCCAAAATAAAAGGAATCCCTATTGCACCGGTTTCTTCAAAACACAAATGAATGGTATCATAAAATAGTGAAATTGATGATATTACAACATCTTTGTTCAATTTCTCCAGAACGTCTGATGGATTATTATTACCCACTGTCTAAATGTATATGGAATTATTATTATTATACAATATTTAATGAATGAAAAATGAGAGATTGAAAAAAAGACTTTTGATGATCTTTCTACCAGATACTATTATTATTAAGTCAACTCATTCACTAGGTACTTGGATATATGATATATACTCTAGGTGCCAAGGGTTAATGATACTAGTGGGTCACCCAAGATGTAATAGGTAGAACGGTGTTCGAACTTATTGTTCATCTAAAGCAGGTTAGCTAGTTAATTAAAACAGATCAGAATATTTAGATGATGTAACGAGAATTCTACCAGAATTACTGTGATATCATGTTAGGGCAATGACATTTAATCAGTATAGGGTTGTGGAAATTGTTGAGTTTTATTTAAGATCATGAATTAACTAGGTTCGAGAGGTAATTCTAGGAGTTCTAGTGAGAAGCCGTGACCGGTGGAGTTCAACCGTGTCAGGTGTAAGGCAGTTACCCATTGAAGATAATGGAAGATGGTCGCGCAATATCGTGGATTGATTGAAGTTAGACACTAACACTATTGGATGTTGGTTCAGTGATTTAGAAGTTAAGCGTTCGCGAGTGAGACCGAAAGTCCTGGTTCCGAGTCCCGCGTACAAAATCGTGGACGCACACTGCTGAGTAGTTCTATACTAGGGCGAAACGAACGTCCAGTGCTTCCGGGTTTTCAATCATAGTCTAGCTTAGGTGGACTCATGGATCCAACTGTTAAAATTACTACAACCTCCACAAATCCTCATTCTGCACATATATTTCAAATAATCAAAACTATGAGAGATACGTGGAAGAAGAAAGGAACAGAGAGGAAAAGAATTTAAAAAAAACACGACTTACAATATTTAATTCATTTCGTTTATAATCAAATTGTTTACTTATATAATTACTGAATAATTCAGGCAGATTTACAAATGGATGAATAAATACTTGAATTAATTCGATAAAAGCTGATTTAAATTTATCAACATTCTCATGATGATAATCAACATTATTGTTATTTATCTTTAATAAGGTTGTTATATCTTTGGAACAAACTGTCCTTTTTGTCATTTCTTTAAAAAAAAATTAATAAACATACAAGAAGTTAGAATAATTATCAAGATTGTTACTGTTATTAATAAGAATGCTGTTAATCAGATCTAAATTATTTCAAAGGTGTAATAAGTCACTAAATATGTATGTGCCACCCATATCATTCGATTTATGTGAGGATTAGAATACTGTTCGGGTGCCCAGACCGAAGTAAGTATATTTCTTAAGGGGCCACTACCTGAGCCTTTGATCTAGAGAGCTTATCCACAAGGTAGTGCAACAACGCTAGAAGACGCAGTCTCGTGGTAGCCGGTGACCAACAATAGGTCCACACACCATTTGTTCCCTCAGGAACTTGGAGCCCACATGCACCATTGGTTTGAAATCAATGTTTTCCAACTACTATAGGTGGATTCTCCATATCCACTAACCCGGTTAAAGCGTCGAACGTCTTCTCCATTTCGTAAACAATACTCCTGAAGCAAGAAGGCAGTGAGTCTTTGTAGTTGTATAGTTTTATTTTGAAGCTATCATTGTCTTTGAGATATTGTAGAAACGTTTTGGCTTAAGTGAAGTTTCAATCTCTAAGCTGAATGGTTTAATACTTCTGAATAATATCCTTTGTGCATGTCCGAAAGGAAAGTGAAGTATACGAATTGTTCATACATAACTGACAACCTGTTCTGACAATGCCGATCTTGACTAGTTGCTATTGACCACTGTTCTGCCGTTGTTTATCTATTTATTATGAATGTAATCTCTGACTAGATTTTTTTACCTTATAGTTGGGTATGCTTTTCCCAGTTGGTTGAAAAAAACTGGATGGAGTTCAATGTATTTATTGATTGTTAATTGACCTCAGTGTTAAAAATTTACTGTTCTTTTTAGTACTCATTCTATCGAAAATTTCAAAATTTTCTCAGTTGAATATATATTCATAATTGTCAACGTCCATTAATATAAGCGAAGATACATCATAGAGCTTGATAGATAGTTGGTGTTTATTCAAACGAAGAAAAAAAAACCCACCTACATTGTGTAATACAATGTCTTTTGGTTTCGACAAGATTGATTGAATTCATTTTAATGGGTGATGCGCTACACCTATTTCAAACTGCCTCAACAGTCACGTTGTAACTTTTGTTATATCCTTTATATAAGGTAGGATGATCTGTTTGTTTATTTTCATGTTTGATTTCATTTTTACTGATGAATTTGATCATTCTGTTAGGCAACAACGATATCATCATTATCAGCAGAGAAAAAAGAAAGTGGAGTCTAGAAATTGTAACTCCTTTTCATTAGTTGAAGATTGAGTATTTTAACCACTGAACATGTCGTTTCATAACATTACACACACAATTATTCGTTAGTAGGAAGACAGGTTTCCAGAAAAAGTAATTTCAGGTCATAACCAACAAAGTTAACTACCCAATGAAATGAGTTCATCTTCATTGTATATCGTAAATATAAGTTGCGAAAAAAGAAATATAGTCAAACCAAACATGACTAAAGGAGAATCAGATGGTCCATTTACGCATAGTTTAAAAACTAGTAGAATATCTTAGCTAAATGATGATGAACGATAGAGGTAGTTATTTGTTGAACGTACTCCAAACATATCTCAACCACCCCTCAGGTTTTTTCCCATCAATCATAGACCATAGATAATCGACAGGATTTAATCAACACTACAAAGGACTTGAAATACATGACATTAGTCACTACTCGGTGATCAAATAACCGATTATGAATACATATTATTCATACAGCAGATCAGCTGGCGCCTGAACAGCTCAGTGATAGCAACTTTGACTATGAAGCTAGGTGACACGGGATCGAATTCGCCAAGGAGAATCAGTTCCCTCAAGATTACAGATACACCATGTTGATTAGTTCCAAGTAGATCGGAACCTAAATAGAGAAGGATTTCCTGTCAGCTACTTTCGACCATTACCTTATATCTCAACAACATAGTGCATAGGATGTCTTCTCACTTACATTAGTGAACGAATTGCTACTGCATCGACCTAATTTGATTAGCACTAAGAAGCACATTACATACATTAATATTGGTCATTACTTAGTGATTAATCGATTAAAGACAATAAAATTAGTTACCTGAATAAAAAGGAATTAGTAATTCCTCAAAGTACTGTAAACATCCAACAGTTACCTGTGGAAATAAAATAAATGTAAACACAAATGATTGATATTTTTTCTAAACAAAAAATTTATCCAATCAGTCAGTAGCAAACAACATAAGAGATCTAGAGACAGATGTTCATCGGTACAACTTGCCACAGGACTACCGTCAGTTATAGAGATGTATATGATGAAATTACAAGTTCTCTATCATTAAAAAACCATTTGCCTAACTACAGTATTGCTCACTCAGTAATTGTCGTGCTCCGATAAGGATAATGGATGGTAACTTTGGAATCCATTTATGAACCAATACTATGCATATTTTTTATTGTGTAATTGCTAAATAACTAAACTATTCATATTCATGTTTCCCGTATCATGAGCTTTATCTTGAACTATAAACTATTATTATAAGATTTACCATTCTTGAGTTATCTCTAGCCTATTAATTGCTGCATCCCACGTTCACAGCCACATTCGGCTAAATCTTGTACAAATGTCATTTTCTATTTTATTGGTACGTTGTGGTCAGTCTGTTTGATATATAAACTCAGTATGTTTGAGAATAATGATTCATATTGCAGAGGCTGATATTGGTGTTCTGGACTTAACTGACTGGGCTAGGCAGAAAGCAGGACCGACAAGTACTCTAGACTGCTCGTACGGTTTTCGTGTATCATTGGTCCGATTGATAATTCGCTGCTCTCTGATTGGCGGTATTATCACGTCAAACATTAACAGGGCATTCACTCGTCCACAAGTTATAACAGTAGTACCGACGCATGTGATGAAATACTGGTAACTTACTTCCATGCTTTGATAAAAACGACTATGAATTGGGGCTTCCGAATGACCTGAGATACATAAAAATCAAGGGACGATTTAGATATTCTAATCCGAACAGTCTCACTGAAGAGGGCATACAACACATCAACATTTAGTTGTTAATATAGAAAGAAGATATGGTGTAGGAAAAACTTGGTATCCAAAATGAACAGCATAGTATAAACACTAACCAATGCGTGACCTTCAGATAGCAGCTAATTAGAAGACGAGCAAATGTCATGCGAAAAATTCATTAAGAAAGAAAGCACTTGTGGTTACCTCGTTACTAGTGAAACATTAGCATTCTCAACAAAAGTTAAGCAGTCCTGAGATTCCCTCTCGACCTACGAATATTCACTTATTTCAAAAATGTTTATAACTTCTTGAAAATAAAAAAGCAGAAGGGTGAGACTATAATTTATGGACAACATTTGAGCGATACCAAAAAAACCTTGAGACGAATCACCTACTTACTATGGTCTAAAGAAGGTTATAAATTAGGATAAGGATTTGGAGTTAGAATCTAGGTTTACGAACAAAATTAGAGGTTCTCATCACGAACTGATATAATCTATAATGCCAAAATTCTATTTAGCCATATGGATGAATGAATTTTACGTCAAAATTCAAGACTTGTTATCCTTAATTTTATTGATTCATTCATAAATTACAGTCTCACTAACAAAAATATATTCCTAACGTGGTTATCCAATACACAAATACAGTAAACATGTCAGAGACCAGATAACGATCCAATGAATACAGTTCAGTCAGTCATAAGCAAAGTAAGACCTTCAAGTCTCCAAACTACAGCAACACAGTGAGATGAAATTAAGACAAATGTCAGATTAGTAGAAGTCGCGATAGTAACAGTGATTGTAGTAGAAAAGACCACATACATAGGTAATATGATTCGAGAATAAATACTATAAGATAATTTTACGATTCAATACTTGAGAGAAAATAAAAAGTAAATGAATCTGGAACATTATGACCACTTATGAGACATATCACATACACCATCAACAACTTTTGGTTATAGTAATCGTGCAGAAACCCAGCTAGGATTTAGTTTGCACCCAATAATACGTCTCTATCAAACAATCACTGAATTCACTGACTGATAGACCCGTAAAACATTTCACAGATAACATGAAACAAGTACTATCCACTCTCAGAAAATTAGAAAAAATCCTAAGTCCCATTACAGGCTAATCACTATGACATCTAACTTCAGGGCTATTTATTGAGTTTTTTCCAACCCCCATTAAATATCTATGAATAACAAATAAAAAATAATAAAACTAACATACACGAAATAAACATCCAATTAATTGATAATTCAATATAGAATTAGTAAATGTTTGAAATGGTTGAAATGATTTTAATGAATCAGTAAAATCCATAAGTAATTCAATAGGAAAAAGATATTCGGACTTTTGTTGATGTTGTTCCTTGTGAAGATGATGATGATGATTACAATTAGGTTGATCTATTTGGTAATGGAAAATTAGTCCTGCATTTAACTATAATAGAAAAACAAAGATAAAAATAAAACAGTATTTTCATAGTTGAAATCATAAGTCAATTGAAGCTAGACCACCATCGAAAACCTGGAAGCACTGGAGGGCGTTTCGTCCTATTGTGGGACTGCTCAGCAGTGCGCATCCACGATCCCACCTCGCAAGATCCGAACACAGGACCTACCAGTCTCGCGCCGGAGCATTTAACCGATAGCCCGCTGAGCCGGCATCTAAAGGTGTTAATGTTTAACAGTATTTTAAATAATATCATGTTACAATTTATTAGTGATTTTACAGTATACGCTGACTGACTCAGTTTTGATAGCCTAAATGTATGTTTTCATCAGTCTTAGATGGAATATGTACATTCTAAACGGATTACCTTGATATAGCTATTATGACATGTTTACATAAAATAGATGAAATAAGTTTAGTAGTGAGATAAAAGGCGAGTGGTTCAACGCCCCCAAATGCCCTGGAATGGCCGAGAGTGGGGAGAGTCACCTCTCCCTCTCGAAATACTCTCATATGGCCAGCGAATATATAGCCTCTGACAGGAAAGTCCTACTCACTGCCTTCTCGTGGCGGGGGCGTTGTTTACGAAAGTGAGAGGACGAAAAGCGAATGTCCGTCGCTTTAACCGGGTTGGTGGACACGGAGGGTCCACCTAAGGGAGTTGGAAAACCCTGATTCCAAACCAATGGTGCACATGGGCTCCAGAATCCTGAAGGGACAAATGAATCAATCGTTGGTCACCGGCTACCATGGGACTGCATCTCCTCACGATGCTTCACTGCCTTGTGGATCAGATCTTTAGGTCAAAGGCTCCGGGTGTGGCCCCCTAAGAAAACCACCTGTTTCGGTTTGGGCGCCCGGGCAGTATCACAGCCATCACAAAAATCAAATGAGATTTGTGCGGCGCATATATATCTGGTTCCCCTTTGTACCAATGTTTGTGTTTAAATAAAACAATTTTCGCAAACTCTTATATTAAGAATTATCAACAATGATCTAAACAGTGGAATCTCAAAGCGCAGAGGATTCAACACTTGAAAAGATTTTTTTTCTTCAGTGCAATATATCTAATACAAACATATTTTAGCGATTTATTCAGGCTTTTATTGTAAATCAGTTTATTGAACATAGCATATAACTCAAATGTTTGCCATTAACGGACTTTATTATTACTTAATAATACTACCAAATAAAAAAACTGAGTTTTATATCACAGACTTCTAATTAACCAGGAATCGAACCCAAAACCCAATGCTTAGGTATTGTTGAGGCACCGTTATACTAGGATGAGACAGTTGTCCAGTGACTTCCTAATTTCCAATGATTCTCTAGCTATTGTTAGTTCTTGGTGTGAAAGCTAATAAAATTCAACTGTAGTGAATACTACTAACATAATTGCTTGTAAGTAGTATACAGTGGAAAGTGGTGTGGAATCTGTTACAGTCAGTAGATGGAAGGAAGAGTTTCCATAGGTCAAAAGGCACGGAGTCATTAGAAGATTCATTTTTGCACGCATTTGATTTCAGCTCATATAGAAACGGAGGTAAATCGTCAGTTGGAAGAAATGCTGAGGGATGGGATAACTGAGGAAACAGATAAGCAACATAATTCACCTGTTCTACTGTAGTGAGTGAAGACTTAGTAAGGAAACCCATTTATTTTTTAATGTAAAATTACAAAGTGCCTTCATAAAATATGAAAACCATACATTGAATGTATTATTTGCACATCTTCTTTCAGTTGTCTCTCAAATGCTTCATGATTCTTTCATTCCTGTTGTTATTACAATTGCTCTCTGTTTCCCATCTCGTTCTTCTCAGTTCAGTTTCTTGTTCGCAGACAATTTTACTTCTGATTGTTGCCATATACTACTTATATCTGTCAACATAAGTAGCATACACTACACTACTAGTGTAGAAGTTCGATGGAAAGTATAGATTCTATGTCGACTTCAGCGAACTGAACAGCATTACTGAACTGTGATCGTGCAAAATTCCAACAGTGATGGAAACCTTAGACAACTTACAGTAAGCCAATGTGTTTACGGTATTAGACCTCCAGTCAGGATATTGGCAACTACCAATATAAGCAAGCGTGACAGATACAAGACGGCCTTCAGTATGAGCCACAGACAATACCAGTTAAAACGGACGCCATTTGGACTAGTAGGCGCGCCTCCTACTTTTAGAAGACCGATGATATTTCACTTTGAAATTTAATAGAGGGCCGAGGTATATGGAGATAATCTAATAGTGTACAGACAAACAGAGAAAGACTACACGAAACAGACGTGGTCTTGAAATGAACCAAGGAACCTGCCCTACGTATTAACAAGAAGTCCCAGATAGTCTAGATTATCGTTATCCTGGCAGACACATTGGATGTAAACAAGGGACTGGGCAGAAGTGAACAAGTGTTTAATGAAATGATAAAGTGTTTACATAATATGCACACATAGCCTTTAGTGATATATTTGCATGTTGCGGTGTGAACTGCGACCTGGTTTGTTCTAGACTGTTTTGTGGTCTGTACTCCAAATATTCTACATATGCCATGCATTTCGACATACTGAAACTTCTCTCTCCGTTTGTTGACTGCAACAGCTCCTATACCACATTCCGCTACATACTACTTACAAGCAATCATGTTAGTAGTTTTCACCACGTAACAATATTTACAAAATCCTCCACCTATACAAATAACACTAATAATATAAATGATGTCAATCGATGTTAACAAATAAAAAAACATTATTTTTAATTCTCACAAACTAACCTGTCCTTTAAAAAAGCATATCAATAAAGCATAGAAACATATAATATTATTGACCATTTGTGAATTTATCGACTGATCAGAATTCAACTCAGTGTCAGGGAATATTGGCAAACAATTCAATTTTTGTCGTTCTTTATTTGAAAATATTTTCGATTGATACGAGGATAATTTTTGTATAATGACAGGTAATACCTCCACCATCACTGCCAAAGAGTCCGATTTACCAGCTGTAGTGGTTCCTACTGTTTGACAAGTACTACGATCCCAAAAGCCAATCACTTGTTCCTTTAGGTATATAATAATAATAACAATAATAGTAATAAAATATTTGACTAAAAATGACTTAGTTAGACTATACGATTAATATATGGTACTCAGCATGGACAAACAGGCACTTGGCCTATTATCTATTAAGTGTGATTTCCCTTCTTTTTATTGATTTATACTCAGGATTCAATGACTATAACTGCTTGTAATTGTGTTGAATGAAGTATTATCTAGTGTTAACCCGGTTCTCGATTTTGAGTATTGAATCCTGGATTGGATATAACATGACTAGTCTTATTATCGTATTAACGTATTTTCGTATTATACCAGAGAGTCCAAGTCTAAATTAATGATAAGAAGAAAAGTCGTTGAGTGCGTCGAACAACTCCATCCTTCATTATACTGCTTCACTTATTTTGGAAGTTTCATAAGTCATAATGACCATATGTCGGACGAAATCTCAGCATGACTAAGAAATGCTGAGGTTAGGCATAGGGTATTAGGTAAACATGAGGATCGATTGATGAGGTGATTAGAATATACTACTTAAGCTCAACTACCGCTTAGCTAGACAGGCGATGATGGCTGATGTAGGGATTGACTGGAATAAAACTAAGAATGTCAAAACAAAGGCATGGAACTAGTCAGTGACAACTGAACTGAATCATATTAGCAGGTGTTCCCTACTTGATTGGTGGTTATTGTAAATAATAGTTAGAGAATTTGCGTGATATGGCTTAAAATCGTTTTAAATAACGCGGACGAATGTACTCCTTAATTTTCCTGAGGATCCTGAGCCGCAAAATTTGTTTATACCTTATTTTCTTCTTTCCATGCCTGATCTTTTGTACTACTACTGATACTGTTACTATTGCTGAAGCTCTGGGATTTGTTTTGAAATGGTTTTATATCACTGCGCCAATAGAGAGTATGGTAACTGCTGCACAAAGATTTCAGGTTCGTTTACAATGGCGCAGGTCCCCTAAACTCAAAGTTACTAAATTAAATTTCAAATATTTTTTATTTCACTAATCAATATTCCCTCGAATCGTATATCCGATGTCCGATATTTTCTAAAACCATGAATACTGTTACTACTTCTGCTATTCTGGATTTGTCCTTATACGTTTGTTCGGCTGTGCTATTGAGGTATGGCAATTTAAACTAATGTACCAGGTTCTACGTGGCGTTTGATTATTCGTTTTAGGTTTTATATTGCGTATAGCTAACTGATTTTTAACTGAGTTTTCATCACTATCTTTGATATTAAAATCATTCCAATTTATTTGCTTTTTAAGACTATGAATAATTTTTTTGTCGTTAGAGTTATGCAGCTGAAAGTTACTTCACATTCTCCGATACTGTGTAAGGACACTACTTAGTGAGGTACGTAAAAATGAATTGCGCCAAGAGAGGTCTTAACAACGCTAAATTGTAATGCTGGAAACCTAGTAATAACTAATAGAGAGTGATCCCATATAAGGTTTTTTTAAAATAGATTCTAATACATTCAGAACTGGACCAGTAATTAAGTCCGACAGCATTGACCATGATATGGAGAGTCAATCAGAAGTAGCAAAAGATCAATCGATAACAATCAGAAGTGATCCAAAGTTCGAATGCATCTCAATGGCTAAGAATTGGGTCAATTTCCTACGGATAGAGTGGTATATATATATATATATATGAATGAGTATTTATGCATTTCATTCGGTAGTCAGTCTGATACACTTTTTCGCACAAGTAATCAGTTGGGGGAGGGGTAGCGCCTAGCCCACTGTGTATCAGTATCAAATTTTGGATACCACATGCCAGAACACACTATCAAGATGAAAATATTAATTTTAGAATACAAAAAAGTTATTCAATTAGTCACACATCAAAAGATACAAAAAATAAATATACTACTTACTTTTAACCAATTAGTATAATATTTTCTAGCTGCATTTTCACGTCCAATACGACATAATAAATTAATTAAATGTAAAGTTAATTTTAATTGATCACCATTATCATTACCATCATTAATGGTATCAACATTAGTATCATTATAATTGTCATTAGGTAACATTAATGTATTCATTGACATCATGAATAAACTTAAATCATCAAATGATTGAATTAATTTTGGAGCTATTAAACTTTCTAAATTATTTTTATATTTATCAACTTGTTTAACACGTTCATCATAATCATTTAAATGAATAAAAGATCCCTATGGAGCAATAAAAATAAAGAGAAAGGTGTGTGTGTGTGTATGTGGAAATTAAATAAACAAAACAACACAGTTAAGATCACAATTTACTATTATAGTGAATCCTGGCAACGACACCAAATGTAGTAAATGAGAACACAGGTGAGGACAAGCAACTATGTATGTAGCACAAATTACAAAGTTACTTGGTAAAATACAAAAAACCATACTCTGATACTCTATTCGCAAAATGTTCATTAATTGTCTCAGGCTTTATTGTTCCTGGATTTCCACAACAATTGCTTTCTATTTCTGTTCTTCTCTTCTTGATCTTCTCAATCCTCTGTTGTCAGATATCCTATTCCTTACTCACGATATATACTACTTATGTCGGTATGAGTAGCCCACACCACACTATATTTGTACGATATTATACAATTTATCATTCAGTTAAGCAACTTGTCAAGTATAGATTTATGTATATGGCTTTGAATTGTACTTTAATGGTAAGGGTTAATGATAAAATTAATTGGTTGTCCAACTTAAAGTAGGTGCTATGGAGTTCGAAAAAGTTTCCAAGATGCTAATTAATTATATATATGAGGCTAAACTACACTGTATTTATATCATAAATATTTGTAATGCTATAAATACTCGTAAATTGATTCTTTCCTCTTTATATAACCCTGATGTTTGCATCATTTTCGAGCTTAACAGCTTGTCAAAGATAGTATAAGATGTGTTTACATAACGGTTACCGATAAGTTATGTTTATTCTTAATTCTAAAAGTTTTGACGGATAAATAGAGCAGATTCATAGGGACAACAATAAATGAACAATACATATCAACAAATAGTCAATGTATTCATGAGTCTAGATGATAATGGGTTCGACCTCTGTTTGAAGGCGATCAATCATGAGTATTTACAAGAGTCCTAGACGAAAATAAAAAGTAAGTGTTTAGTGCTAGCTAATTAACGATAGTGTTGCCATGACAGAAGTCGTATTTTATCTATAAATCTATAAAAGTTAACTTACTAAACATTGATTCATACCCTCAATATTCGAGCAAAGCTATAGAAAATAAAAGAAAAAGGCAGACATGTAAATATCACATTTCTATCTATATTAGTATATATAATTCATTAGCATGTTGAGTGTGAAATTAGCAATGTCAATAGAAGATTATGGCGAAACATCGAGAATAAATTAATGTTAGATATGTTAGCCTTTGAATACCAGCTTACTGGTTTCATCCCTGATAGTCGTGGATATATAATATTGAGGAGTCCAATACTAGGACGAAATATTTGTCTAGAAAATCTTGATTTCCAAAGAGTGTTTAGATAAGATTATTTCTTAATGATTTTACTGTAAATCCTAGAAATTGATTTGAGTACATAGTTTGAAAGGATAAAGTTGATAACTTTTGAGAAGAGGGTATATACGTTGTACGAAATGAATCCAATCAGATAAGAATAATTAATAATAGAAAATATGAGGATATCACTCAATTGCGACTGAGACAAACTTATACCAGATTCTACATTGTCTATGACTAACGTGTACAGAATTAGATGAAATGTCAAGTTAATTCGTAATGCTTTGAATTACCCCATTGTAGATATTTTGACTGAATATTTTCATCAGTCTTAGCTGGCTGTTATATCTGAAAGCGTTACGAATTCACTAGTAGCGAACGGAACAAAGACACGTGACCAGAGACCGATAACTAGCTATACTGACGCGACCCAGACCCAGCTAACTAGAGTATGAAGTCCAAGTTGGAGTGGGGAAGTTATATTCCGTAGCAGACAGAAGCACAGTAATCCAATAAGGGAAACAGTCAAGCGTACTCATACAGCAACAAAATGTCCTTGGGCATCGTTAATAAATAGCACACACAAAGAAATAATGGACCAATAGCGTTTAAGGTAGTTACAATTGGGAAATATTATGTGAAGGTAATAAGAGCACGTTTGGCGCGAAAACAGCTAAATTCAAATTTCCAAAATAAGATTACGAAATTGAGCCACTTATCAAGTAAGTTCTGGGGATTTGACATCCCCAACATTGGCATATGTACATTCTGTAAGGACTGTCTCGATATAACCATTTTGACAGAAGTTTAGATAGAATAGATGGGATGTGATTAGTGTGGATTCCAGGTTGTCCGTTTCTTCCTGGATGGATTTAAATACATAGTAGAGCTGGGTTTCGAATACCGGAGCAGACATCAACTTTGGGATCCAACTGAAGAATTTCCAGTAACAAAAAACGCGTGTCCTGGATTCCACTGCCACCTACATTCCATCTTTTTTTCATACATAAACTAGTCCATACATGAAAATGAAAATATTTACCTGATCAATATCACCAACTTCAAACAACTCATCAATACATTGCATTAAATTAATCCATCGATCTGTTTCACGAAGCGCGTCAGCTGCTGATTGAGCATTTCTACGTGTTCTGTCCAATTCAACTAATGAATTGACAATATTCTGACTGTTATCATCCAACTGCACATACAAGTCAAAAAAGAAATAAGTATAGAAAAAATGTTGGATAGGTACCCGCTCAATTCACTACTTGTTTATTGTTTCATACTACTTATTATTCAGTAGTTGGTTCATTTCTAGTACGTTTATTTGTTGTGTAATATCTTCAATTATTTACATAAATTACTAGTATCTACCGTTCTTATCATTGTAATTACATTCCCTAAACCATAGTAACAGTTATTTCTAGTATTTATAGATTTCTTTGAATGTTTGTCTAAACGCAACAGCTCCCATGCTTGTGTGCTCTTACTCCTTGTTTTAATTGCTGATAGTAATTGATTGACTTTACACACAGTTACCGACCGTCATGAACGTTATTGTATATTTAAATTATTCTTTAAGTTATTATTAACGGAGTTCACTTTCTTTTCGCCAAATATACCTTAAGAATCGACGTTTGTAATTAAATTACGTACATCTCATTATAAATAAACCGTTTTTTTCTAAGATGAATCGTTGTTTGTGAACGTCGATTCCAAGATCATCTGAATCATTTGGTTAGACCTTTCGACAGATTTGGCAATGTTTTAACATCAGCGTGTTGCAAGCGGTAATCAATGAACACTTGAATGGTTAAAGATTTGAGTTACTTAAATGTGTTAATATTAGGGAATAAATTCTGATCAGTTTTTTATGTAGATGGTTAATTTGTCACACTTTATATAATAAGTTGTAGCAATCAATGCAATCCGAGACACATACCTTGTCAGCTGAGTGCACTTGCATTCCAGTGATAATGTTCATATCATTAGGATTTAAGCCAAGACCTTTAACTTTAAATGTTCACTCGTTACATACTTATCAACTTGTTCAACAGGTATGATGATACTTTGAAATGACTTTAGGTTAGTCTTCATTGTTATATATTGATTTTCTACGAATTCTCACGATATGAACATTTTGGGTTCAAGTTCCAAAATGAAGACCAACACCAGAGATACAGGTACCTCCAGCTAACAAGTCCCAAATAAGATAAAATGAATGTTCTGGATCCCACTGCTAAATACTTGAATGGCATCATCATTTTTTGTAGTATATGGCGAATCGATTAAAGTTAGATTCGTATACTATTGGATGTTGTTTCGGTATTTCAGCGGTTAAACGTTCGTGTGCAAGAATGAAGTTAGTGGATTCGATTCCCTATGACGGAGTCATGTAGGTCCACATTGTTGAGTAGTTCCATAATAGGACGAAATGAGTCTCCAATGCTCCTAGATTCATAAAGGTGGTTAAGTTAATAACAGTTCATGACTTAAACCATGAAAATTGTACGTGCTCTATAAACTCTTCCATAATTATAAATAGTTTTGTTGGACAAGCAATAAATATTTGTTTACATACAGTGCATTATTAAAATCTGATCGGTTAAAATAACAAGATTAATTTAGAATAGTGGATAAACCAGACATTGTGGAGGCTAGCGATATGCGTTGAAATGAATGAACATTGATTATTCAGATGTCGAGTACTGAACGGCAAACATAAAACTGGCGATCACTCAATATTTATCGTCAGGAGCGAATCAAGCAATAGGGAAAGGAAACTTATTGAGAAACTTTGTGCTGAGAATTCTATATTGTACCAAAAATATAATAATAATAATAATAATAATAATAATCACCTGATTGTCATCTTGTAACGTTTTTAAATCCGATTCTAAAGTGAGAGCATCAATTCTTACTGCATCAATTTCCCGTAGAACACTAAGAAAATGAAAATTCAATCATTGCATAGGGTGATTACGATGCCATAAAAACAGAACTCATGTCTCTTTTTACCAGTAGTGAAATGGAAATTGTCATACAATCTATGATAAGAACTTATTGAAAATACTAAGTTTTGTCATCTGGCGTTTGAAAAAAATATGCAATTATTTGAGAAGTTATCTGCCTCTTGAAACTGGAGACAAAAAACGATTACCTCCATTTCTTTTGGACAGTCAGTGTCTTAAGAAAACCTTTTAAAAAGATTAATTCATTTTTCTGCTTCTTAATGGGAATCAGGTGAATAGCCAAAAGTGTTGCTACATGGAGACAATTTCTGAAAGTCCCAAGAGAATTTCATTTGATAATCACTGTAAGGTATGATTAATAAGTGATTTCACCGACGATAGTCTAAAATACCCACCAAGTTTATCAAGCCAAATAACTTACATGTTCTGAATTTGGCCAGCCTGGGGATTGGTTTAGAATAACATTTGTAGGTAAATAATTCCTACAATAATTGCTATATTAATGTAATAAGTTTGGGGAGATTGCTAAGTTTGGTAGCTCGCATCACGAACTCGAGATAACTACTACACAACCACTGGAAACAAAGATATAGCAAACAGTGATTTTGTTATGGTAAGCGAGTGCTTAGCAGTGCGCGTTCACGACCCCACTAACTACTGAACAATGGACCAACTAAGATCAATCTGTGGTGTAAACCATACGCTACAACAATTTCCAAAAACCTCATATATTGTCGTAACAGTGTTTGAAAAGATGTCATGTATTTGTTGTGACTGGTCAGGTCAAAGTACCTCCATCCTCGTGTTATTGTTCAAACTGAGACTTGAATTCAGCAGTACATTGGGCTTTAAAAATATTATCCACTGAGGAACTGAGTTCAGATATATCCACAAATTTATGGTAAAATGACAATATTGAGACAATCTCCTCAGGATCGACAAATACCAATAAAGACTAGTTGATGGTAATACTTAACAGCAATAACGGGAAAACAAATACCTTTACAAATAAAAACTGTTCCCACCTGACTTTGTGACTGGATCTACCATAAACCCAAAAATGATGTGTTCGGATTTCGAGAGGAGTACAAAACCTACAGATAACTGACTTTCCATTAATTGGTCAGTATTTTTGAACTTCATCGAACTTGTGACGTGGTGAATGATCCCTAACCAATATTTTTTTTGTTTTTACAGAAAACAGAACACTACTTGCTTACCGAGGAATAGAAGCAATGGCCTCTTGACAAGTATGATCCAGTGTTTGCATTACATCCTGTATAATTGAAACAGTAAAATAAGTATGAGAGAGTTTGGATTAACTAATAATAGTCAGGCAATCATACCCAATATATTCCTGGTGCACACATACATCAATTCAACTTATAACATCATACAGGGACAACGAGAACAATTAAATTTTGTTTAAAAAAGGATAAGATGGTTGTAACACTAAAGGTTTAGAATGAAAACGAAAAGTGAATAGGTCTAACACAATGTGACCGATTCTGAAAAATCACATAACGTCTTCAACCATTAATTATGATAATCACGAGAAACTGAACTACTTACACGGCACAGTCCAACAGTTAGTGATTTTATGGATTGATGTCATGTCTTGATTACCGGCCTCTTGCAAACATCGTGTCGAGCTAATTGGTTGTTGATAATGTGGTACGTGTACTTACCAATTTAATCGATGAAGATACCCTAACTAACCAACTGATTCTCCGTTTACATCTAGAATTCTGTGTTTAATTTTAGCATAACTCATTCAATCATCCCGATATACAATAATAACGTCTCGAATACAACTATGATTAAATAGTAGTAAACTAACAACATACTCCAATTTTGAAGATAACATTTCACAGCCACAAAGCAGAACAGAACGAATCCCTGAGAAATTATCACGCCCACACCACAAGCTGACAAATATCAAAGGATCTTGTTGAAAACATGAGATTTCGTCAGACATCACTGCGCTCAGTGTGATGATACTGCAAAGATTAGTAAATCTCAGTAACTGATGTTTGAAGACGTTAAACTGACAGCTAAAATAAGTCTAAAATGACAATTTTCTTTCTTTCTCATTATGTTATCAGTGTGAACCACGCCAACTTTAACAGATCCAGACACTTATGTCAAGCACTAAAAATATGTGTTTTACTAACCGATTACTCATCACCAACTATGAAATGCTAAATGGTTAGAGATGGTCAGCAGAAAGTTCTACTTCACTTAGATTTCATGCTGGTTCAATTTCATTAGCAAGGTGCACACATATATATGAAGGAATTTTATTATTTATTTAAACACATAAAAATTGGTACAATGAAGCACCAGATAAATATGCGCCTCACAAATCTCATTCGATTTGTGTGAGGGCTGTGATACTGCCCAGGTGCCCAGACTGAAGCAGAATATATGAAGGAAATGATTATCCCTTTAGGATTAAAACCGACTATCTGTCGTATACTACAAAGACTGAGATACTTTCATCGAGTGATTCGAACCAGTCACCAGATAATCATTAATTTTCATCAAATATGTGGTCAATGACTCTGCAACTTGAAACTAACTCTGTGATATTACTAATCATCTTACATAATAATTGAGACAGTATAAAAGTTTATACGTAAAAGCAGAAACTGCATTTAATCTTAGAAACAAAAATTAAACTTTTACAAAACAAAAAAATTTGTTTATGTGTGTGTAACGTGGACTTACTTTCATTTGAGTTTGAAGTTGCAACACAAGATCAGATACTTTTTGCTGAAATGAGAAAATTGACAAGATATTGAAGAAAGCATAAACTAATTAAAACGAGCTAAATCGACTAAGTTATTTATCTACTTATTATTAGGCTCGCTTTTTCTCTATCTTATGGTGGTTATGAAGATCTACACGTCTAAGGGGAAACATTCAATACACTGGATAGCTTAGATGTAACTAGACGATTCGCATTTTGTAGATGACCTAGCTCTTCTATCCCATACACACCAGCAAGTGTAGATGAAGACAGTCAATGTAACAGAGACTTTCACAACAGCAGGTCTAAATATATACAAGGGAAGAAACAAGATCTTAAAATACAACACAGAGAAAAATAAACAATTCACAATTGATAGAGAAGCTAAGGAAGATGTGGAAACTTTTACGCGTGAGGGAAGGATCATTGATAAACAACGAGGGTCTGATGTAAATGTGAAGGAATGGGTTGATAAGGCAAAGGCAGAATTCTTAAAACTGAAGATTATATGGAACTCAAAACAACTGTCACCCAACACCAAAGTCAGAATTTCAATACAGACTTAAAGACAGTTTTATTGTACGGAACCAAGGATTGAAGAACTACTACAACCATCATCAAAAAAGTAAGAGTATTTATAAACAATTGTTTAAGAAAGATAGGTAGAAGAATCCTGGTCAGCATCCTAGGCTCCACTAGGGTTAACAAGAGTAAGTGATTAGTAGAATAATAATAATAATAATAATAATAATAATAATAATAATAATAATAATAATACGAAAACAGTTTCATATGAATTATGAGAAGACGTTTTCTGTCATGTTCATAATTATCGTACGAATGTAAGATTGAAACAAATAGAAGATTGTTAAAGAGGAGGAACAATCATGAACCCTTTGGATACAGTATATATATTTGGGTTGATCAAGATAGTCTGTAGTAAATCTTGGTCGATATGAGCTTCATGTTAGTTTGTATTCGTTAGGAAAGGGTATGTGCAATTTGAAAAAATTGATTCTTCTTCATGGGTCTAAATCTGGAGCACTCAGCTCAACAATTAATGTTAACAAGGAGCTATTCAGGATGTAACCAACATCCTATATGACTGAGATATTGACTTTAATTAATCATTCAGAAGGGATTGCAAATATATTTCGCTAGTTTCTCAGAGTTAATCGAATTCGTAATATGGTCATTAGTGCGAATAAATACTGCTTCCAATATCATTTCAAATAGCATGAAACCTAGGTTCAGGTTTTCTACCAAGTACCTCCTTTCAACCACCCAAAAACACATATGTATAAATATCCATCTCAATATATGTGTTTTCAGAGCCTGTGATGATTTTGATAATTAACGCAAACTCTAAGAGACCTTTGTATATTGTCTAAAAAGAGTGGTCTTGAGGTGATATTTTCTGTTCATATCGATAAAGAAAGCATTATTGAACAAATCAAGCAAAAACAAATACTAAACATTTATTCTTGAAAGGATTTGAGAAGAACTCTTACTGAATAAATAAAATACTAAAGATAATCTATGAAGAGAATGGATTAGAGGGCAATAGATACTACGCATAGATCAAACTTTTCGATGAGGACTCTGAAGACTCTAAAATTGATGGAAGGTCAGATAAAATCACAACTGACGAGTAAATTAAACAGTTTGATTGCCACAAATGAAGATTATTTAAAATGTGATATAATTGTTGCACCCTGAATTTTGTCGGCTAAATTCTTTGTTCTCTTAGTGTTGCGAATGAGAACACAGGTGAGGACAACCAACTATATATTTAGCACAAATTACAACGTTACTTGGTAAAATACAAAAACCATGCTATGATACACTATTTGCAAAATGTTCTTCAATTGCCTCAGGCTTCATTGTTCCTGGATTTCCACACAAATTGCTTTTTATTTCTGTTCTTCTCTTCTTGATCTTCTCAATCTTCTGCTGTCAGATATTCTATTCCTTACTCACCATATATACTACTTATGTCGATATCAGTAGCTCACACCACATTAGTACTAAAAGTAATATATAGAATGGATTTTGATCCTTCAATCGAATAGGCGTTTAATAGTAACCAAGTAATATATAATTAAATTATAACAACATATATACAAAATGGGACATCACGCAAGGATAAAATTGACAGCC